AATTAACGTTGATCGGTCTTTCTCACTTTAGTTATTAGTGTTCTCTCTGGCAAGAGTAGAGACTCCATAGACAAACAAATAAAAAGAGACTGGCAAATTAAATGGTAAAGAGAAGGGACAACGTTCCCGTAGCGCAACTCAGAACGCAAAATTTCGTTCTATTTATGTTGATCTGCGCATTGCGTCTATTGGGCCCACTATCTCTTAACAAGAGAGAAAGAAGCAGCTATATAAAACGTAATTTCTAAATAGAAATTAGAACAATCGCCTTTCGTTTTCGTCATCATGACAACCAAGATGACAATATCATGACAATTCGTCATGTTTGTTAATTTTTATTCTGGTGATTTACCTTTTTTTCTAAACTCTCCATTTTATTGACTTATGAATATGGATAGGGAACAAATTCCTTTGTTCCATATAGGTATTTATATTTTGTTACTTATAATTTTAGGTTATACTATTTGTTATTTTATTTGCTGCAGGAGCCAGTATCATCTATTTTCTATTTGTAATGGTGCCCCCTGTCTCTGATGGATATGTTAAAGACACCCGGTAAAATAAAAGTAAGTAGTTATATTTATCATCTTATTAAGAAAAAAAGTAGAAGTAGTAGTGTCAAAAATATTTCGAACCTCTCTTAACATAACAATTTAGTACAATTATTTTTTTTTAATTTTTTGGGTAGGTAGTAGTTTATAGCTGGTTTATAGTAACCAGAAACTTTATTAATATACCTATTTAACTTTTGTTTTAGGATTAAAACTGGACTTGAAAATGGTTCAGGATCATGATTATCGTAAAGTCTTCTTTGCTTGGATAATCACTTTGTTATTGCAATTAGGCAGTTTTTTTCGAAAATTAGATTTTTAATGCCCTTTAAAAAAATTGGCCGATTGTTTCCTGCAACAGTCAGTTCTTCTGCAGTTAAATTTGGTAGGTGGGTGGAATAAACACTGTTATTTTTTGTTGTTGTATTTTAAAAAGTTTATTTATTTTTATGTATAAATAAATATGTTTATAAAACAGTACAATTTTTGCTTTTTTTATAATTTCCCTTATAATAGTAGTATTCTTTCGTTCTGAAAGAAACTGTAAATTTTCACTTAAACTGATTTATTCCCTACACCACGTTCCCTTTACGTAGTATAGGGAATAAATCAGTTTAAGTGAACATTTTCAATTTCAGAATAAAAGAATACTACTAATAATGGCTAATTTAAATTTTCCGCCAGCCAGAATGTGCGATAATGTCTTACGATACGTTTTGTACCTATCTCTTTCTTTTTCATATAAAGCGCACATAATAAAGAAATATAGCAATAAAAACGTACGTCCTGCCATGGTCCTGCTAATTGGGTTCAAAATTGTTATTCTGAGTTGCGCTACGGGAACGCGGTCCCACTCTTTACCATGGGATTTGTCAGTCTCTTTTTATTTGTTTGTGTATGGATACGACGCAACCTTATTTTTTTAACCCTCCGGAGGTCGCGCGCGGACTCAGTCGTATAGGTACCTATTTTTCCCGATAATTCGGAAATATAGAAACATCAGATGCTGCGCCTAGTATCTTCCTGTTTCTGCATATTGTATGAGAAATGTACGTTTGCACATCGTTTAGGGTAGTTAGTATCTAATTATACTCATATGAGTAGTGTCGACCGTTTTTGTGATACTTTTTTTACATCAATAATGAAATCAACGCTAATCCCTGAACTCTTAACATAAAAAACACGTTAAAATAAACATTTTAGGTAAAAGATTCCGTATCAGTACCGAAATTTAAACTTTTTAATTTAAGAACAAGAAGAGGCAAGAAAGGAAAAAAACGAAAAAAAGGCATTTAGGCCTTTTTATCGTCCAAAAAACTTATTACGGACGAGATAAGAGTTTGATTAATTCGAGTGGAAGAGCGGGCCAAGATAGGTATCTGAGAAATTTATAGGTCTATGAGTTTTACCGACTCGAAATATACATATAAATATCTTTAAATATCTCAAAAACCAAAGCTATTAAACATATTAGACCCTTATAATAAATGCCTTATTTTAAGCTCAATAAAATACCGTGTGTTCCATTACGAAAAATATAACTTATACAGGGTGTCCCAGAAATGAGTGCAGATATTTTAAGGGGTGGTAGATCTGGTCAAAATAAACATATTTCCTCTTTACCATTTTTAAAATAAATTGAAAATAACCGAGTTATTAAACTTTGAAAATTTAAAAAAATCAACGCAACATTTTGAGAACCGCCGGCAGATATCGCCAAGTACATCCAATTACCCGGAGCAAGCCCGGATTTCAGTTAATTCGACGCACTGTGTTGCCACAGGGACAAGAAAGTATATGTTAAAAGTAAGTCATAAAATCACAACACCTGAGGAGTTTGCAGAGATGCAGTACATTTTGATGCACCTTACATTTTTAAGATTGTGATATTATTACATAAAATAAATTAAAAGTTAAATGTTTAATAATGTGTTAAAAAATGTGTTAAAAAGTTAAATTAAAAACTTACCCAACATTAAAAAGATACTTATGACAGATCGATGTAACTGCGACAGTTCTCTTTTTCGATATACACTTAACTAAAATACACTTCACTGTGCTGCTTTACTTGTACATGCTATTATAATAACTACTAAAATAGCAGTCCCCATTTTTAACACATTATTTTCATATAGGCCTCATCAAAATTTGAATCACTCATTTACAAAACACCTTGAAAAGCACACATTACTTCGAATACCTTTCTGAATGAATAAATGTTGAGAATTATTGTCTCTTACCGCCACTATTGTCACTTCCGAACTATTTTCAATCTAAGAAAATACATGTTTCACTCAACAATTTTAAATACGTATTTTGTTTTTTCGCTATTTTTTCTATGTATTTCAACAATACCATCGACAGCCAAGAGAGCGGCGCATCACTGATCACTGGTAACTGCTCCTAGAAGTGTCTAGCCCTAGCAGTCAACTATTAAGCTTGACCAATCAGGTTGGTTAGCGTGGTTATGTGGAGTGTGTTAATTCATTTGTGTTTGTCAAAAACTCTAACGTGATTGGTCGGGCTTAATAGTTGCCTGCTAGGGCTAGACACAAGTACTGCTCCTTTGTCGCGCCGCCGTGTCGAGCTTGCGTCATGCGAGGTTGCCGTAGTTTCAACAATTTCAAATTCAAAACACTCGAAGCAATCAAATTCTTATTAAATTTTAAAAATAAAACAGAAAAACATGAAAGGAAACAAACAAAACACAAATGAATTGGTTATTGATAAGGTCACAAAAAAGAAATTTCTAAAATGTTTATCGTAATTCAGAATTAAATACATCGAAAACAGTCTGACGAATAATCAATTCATTTTTGTTTTGTTTATTTCCTTTCATGTTTCTCTGTTTTATTTTTAAAATTTAATACGAATTTGATTGCTTCGAATGTCTTGAATTTGAAATTGTTGTAACTACGGCAACGTTGCTTAACATCGTCGTCTGACGCAAGCCCGCCACGACGGCGCGGCGACCGGCGACTCAAAGGACCAGTTCACACGCGGCGGTTCTTGGCTGACGGTTAGGCCAAAGAAGGACGACCGGTTAGGCGGTCGATGGAATTGTCGAAATACATCGAAAAAATAGCGAAAAAACAAAATACGTTGTCAATAATTGTTGAGTGAAACATGTATTTTCTTAGATTGAAAGTAGTTCGTCAAGTGGCGATAAGAGACAATAATTCTCAACATTTATTCATTCAGAAAGGTATTCAAAGTAATGTACGCTTTTCAAGGTGTTTTGTAAAACAGTGGCTCAAATAAAACAGAGAAACATGAAGAAAACAAACAAAACAAAATAAATCGATTATTCGTTGGGCTGTTTTCTAAATTTCTTGAATTGAATTCTAAATTACGATAAACATTTTAGGAATTTCTTTTTGTGACCTGATTGTGAATAATATGAATCATTTTATTAAATTTATTCCAAAATAAAGTTATGTTGCAGCATAACAAAGATTCTCGTAAACGTCATAAACGTAATGTTTTTGTTAATTTTCGGTGGTTTTTGTTAAGTTTTCATTGAAAGGGTAAGTACTAAAAATAATTAATGTGTTTTTTTTTTCTATAATTATTAATAATGAGCACTGATAAAAGATTAAATTTAACATTCCTAATTTTTGAGTAGAAATTTGTCTATGAATTTATAAATGTAGAACTATGTTCCGCCGAATTATGTAGAATGTGGATAACATAGGAGGTTGCAACACTGCAAGGCTTAGATACACCGTAGGGAAATCTCAGGTGAATAAACAAGTGGCACTAAAAAGTTTTTTCAAATTTCCCGGAAAATGTCAGGAAAATTTTTAAATTTTCAACATTTTTTTTTCGCAAAAAAAAAACTCATAGGCGTGTTTCTGGGGTTGAACTATACTACCAGTTAAAATATCTGCACTCATTTCTGGGACACCCTGTATATTATATAACTCTGTACATTTCAAAATAATTTTAAATTGTGCACATTACCTCCCTACATATACCCCCATAAAATATTTTGTTTCTACTATATTATCTTTCTGTTTTTTGTATAATCAGCCGAGGTGGATGAGGTGCGCCACCCTGTACACTTTCTACACCCTGTATCTCCGAAACAAAGTATTTTAGGATATACCTAATTTTATACAAACCCTTTTTACTTATTTCCATCTTAATACACAGTACAATAAACTAAAAACTTAACTCCATACTTTACCTAATCCCAAAAACAACCGTTTCCCTGGCTAAAAGGCAGCAAAGTAAACATCCCCAAGCCTAAATAAATAAGAACTCTCATTCCCCAACTGCCTAACTTCTTTAAACCAATTTACCGAAATCCCAATTATTAATAAGAACTTTTTTCAAAGGGGGAGTGTCAACGTCACTGTCAACGAGAGAAAAAAAACCGGGAATTGTCCAGAATTCCTTGACGTTGCTGTAGCTTTGTTTGTCAACGTCAATTTGCTGTTAATTTGAAGTCCCGCCTTAACCTTGCTTTCACCCATTTTTTTTTTCGGTTCCAGTAAAACAGAAATGACGATTCCAGGGCTTAATTGAAAAAGTTGGAACGAAGTTCAGGCTTAAGAGGATGAACTGTATTTTAAGGTAATCGAATAACAGCATCGGTAATTGTGTTTGTGAGTGTAACAAGTCGAAAAGTAAAATTGTCTCTTAAACGAACAACTGGGGATGGGGAATACGAAATGAACGGTAGAACAAGGGCAGATAAGGATAGAAATAAGAATTAGAGAGGTAGTATTGCATATTTAGAATTAAGTGCCGTGTCACTTTTGATGTCCACCTAAAGACGATCACTCAGAGTAAACCATTTATTGTGTTTATCATTGTTTATGTATTTTTACCCGTTTTTTTGTTTCACATGCCGAGCAATGTCATTGTTCTCTATTTCGTGTCTTTAAAAAGGTACAAATACAGCTTTATGATAGATTAAACTAAAGGTCCATTTTTCCTGGTTAATATTTCTGTTGTACTATTGGTATACAGGGTGTTTAAGAAAACATGTGTCATCTTTCGAGGAGATATTCCTCATGTAGAAATAAGATTTATTTTTCATATCAACATAGGTCCGCTTCTGCTTTGTTTCGTAGCTACAGGGTGTAGTAAAGATTTATTGTAATTTTCTTCCAAGTTCTTTTAGCGATTTGAATGAAATTTTGAGGGTAAAAGTTACTTTGAATGCGACATATTTTAAAGCTATAAAAGTGTCGACATATTCATCAGGGACGTGGATGTGGGTTATTACTGGAATATTTTTCTAAAAAAAGCATGTACGCCACTGATTTTTTTTTGTTAGAAAAATAGAGTAAGTAGTTTAATGCCGATTGAAAGTTATCTCTTGATATTTTGTCGATTTCGGCCTCGTTGATGAGATAAACGCAATTTTATTAATTTACCTTGATCCAAGTCTACTAGCAACCTTTAAAAATGTTTAATATAATTAATTTGTCAAAGTTTTAAATAAGTACTCATTGATTCCTCATTAAAAAAAAAAGAAAAAAGTTCCTAAAACATGTGTATGGAAATGCATAGTTTTAGAGTTACAGGGTGTTAAAACTTTTTAAAATTAGTTTTTTTTGTAATTATCTTAAACACCATTATTTTTTTATTTTAAATTGCTGTACATTGTGTTGGACTAATAGTAATAATAACTAATAGTTATAATATTTAATAATGAATTACGAAGAAAATGGTAATAAATCGAAAAAATACACTTTCCCAATAAATTAACGCACCACAAAAAAATAACCAAAAGTTTAAGTTAAGTTTTTGTCACAACCACTTATCCGATTTGGACGATTTTTTTTTGAATGATGGTTATTCTTTCCACAATGTTGCTAGACTAACTGTATTTTGATAGGAACCCTTTTTATACTAATACCGGGTGTAGCAATTATAATGTGTTTTTTAATAAAATTTGTGATACCCTGTAGAGTTGATCAGTTACAGTATTGTAACGTTTTTAGTTCGTTACATGTTTTTTTTTATATATAATATATGATGTCTGGCATACCGTCACCCGATTCCGTATCGTTCGGGCCTGATGATTTATTTGACGAATTTTTACGTTCTCTAGTCCACAACCCTGTTTTCGTTTGACACAACCCTGTTATCGCTCTGTGGAGGCGCGCGCTGTCAGCATCGCTTGTGTCAACCGTCTCCATGCTTAACCTCACTTTGTTTTGACGTTCTGTTGTATCCCAGCTTTTGGAAATGGTGATTATTTAAGTCTTCCTGTATAATTTGAATCAGCTGCTATTTCGAGGCTACAGGTAAAGATGAGTTATTACCTTTTATCGATTCGATATTATTATTGAATATTTTTACGGTAGAGTTACGGATGTCCCAACCTGTATTTGTGTTTTGCTGGCACGTTGGCGTCCCTTTTCTTTTGTCCTCCAGAATGTCACATGGAAGAAAGGACATGTTGTTTATTATTTATTGAGCCCTCGGAAGTATTTCGAGGTAGGTTTATTTTGTTTATTAGACCTTGTTTGGTTTTAAACAAGAGTTTCATATTTTTAGGGTCCAAGGTACGGACTGTGTCCAGGGTACGGACTGTGTCCAAGGTACGGACTATTTCCAAGGTATGGGTAGTGCCTTATGTACAGACATTCTCTTATGTACAGATGTCCTGTGGACGAGTGTCCCCAGTAAGAACGATTTTTTCTTACATCTAAGTGCCACAGCGTGGATGTAGCTTGAGTCCCATGCTGCTTCACTCCCATTTCTAAGCCTAGTCAGTAGCTACGGCTGTAAGGATTCATGGTGTCTCATGCTGGCCCCTTTGGTTGTGTTGGATGGCTGAGTACAGAGATGCGAGACCACCTCACGCTGCTACTGTTTGAAGCAAGATTACATAAAGAACAGCTAAGTGTAGATTTACGTTCTAGTTTTTATGTTTTAGATTTTCTATATTTTCAGTCTTAAACAGTAACGTACATTTTAAATAATATCATCGTACAGACTATATTTAGTGGTTAGATTATTAAGAACATTTATGTCGATTCAGTAGTTACAATGTGATTTAGATTTTAGGTTTCATTATATTACGCCTTGTAATAGTATTACTTTCTATAGATATTATTATTGCGCTATATTAACAGATGAATAACGAGACATAGATTCTAGAATCTACAGGTTGCAACACATCAGATTTAACACCACATAAAATTTAACAATTTAAATAAAGTAATGCTACTTTTCTTATATTTTCTATAACGTTACACGCATTGTATTTTTTTCATAGTCTTTTCAAAGAACATATTTAATATTATTTACATACATAGTTTTACTCAACAAATAACCACTATAATAATTATTAAAATTGTACAATGCTATTTACCATCAGAATTCATCATGAATAAATATAGTCATTAGTTTTAAGTAATATACAACTGTGTTTTCTTTCTCTGTACATGCCTGGCGCCCAATATCTATTTTTTTGTTTATTGTTCTTTATTAGTTTTCTTTCCAGTGAAATACCTTATCCACGACTGCTCTCCGATGAAAAGCTGCCGTTCGCAGTGGTAGTTGTTTAAAAAACGCTACAGTATCAAGTTAAAATTGAAATCACATTTTAGCCTTATCTTTTTTTACATTTTGTTTTTTATTTACTCCATTGTCTTTCTTATTACACGAGAAACAACATTTTATAGGATGACATGATTTAATATTGGTTTTAATTAACATTTTTCCATTTTACTCACTAAAGTAAGTAGCAGGCTATGGAAAAACACGGATTACCAGTAAATGTCAAGGACGAAAACGACTGACACTGACAACAAGCATATCTATTTTACATTTACTGGTAATCCGTGTTTTTCCATAGCCTGCTACTTACTTTAGTGAGTAAAATGAAAAAATGTTAATTAAAACCAATATTAAATCATGTCATCCTATAAAATGTTGTTTCTCGTGTAATAAGGAAGATAATGGAGTAAATAAAAAGACAAAATGTAAAAAAAAGATAAGGCTAAAATGTGACTTCAATTTTAACTTCATACTGTAACTCTAGAGGGTGTCACAAATTTTATTACAAAAAACACGTTATAATGGCTAAACCCGGTATTAGTATAAAAAGGGTTCCTATCAAAATACAGTTAGTATAGCAACATTGTGGAAAGAATAACCTATCATTCAAAAAAAAAATCATCCAAATCGGATTAGAGGTTTTGACAAAAACTTAACTTAAACTTTTGGTTATTTTTTTGTGGTACGAAACAAAGTAGAATTGGACCTATGTTGATATGAAAAATAAATCTTATTTTTACGTGAGGTATCTCCCCACGAGAGATGGTACATGTTTTTCGAAACACCTTGTAGTGAAAGACATATTTAATTTGACCAATTGTAACAATAGACGAATATTTTTTAGATTTTGACTATGGCGTGTAAAAAACATGACTTTTTTTCCATATGTGAGACAAAACAGTACGATCTTCTGGCGTAGATGGAACGGTTGGCAACCCTACTTTATTTTTTTAAGGCTATTATTGTTTTTTAGGGCCAGGATCATATGTTTCAAAACGTTTCTCACAAAACTTAACAGACAGACCAGGTATAATTATTCGAATAAAGACAGGAAGAATGTACCGGATAAAACCATTATCTCAGCGGATAAATCAAACATTAAAGCACCTAACTCTTCGAATAAAGAAACCAAGAAGGTACTAGATAAAACTATTGTCTCGGCGGATAAATCTGACAACAAAGGACCAAACATTTCGAATAAAGAAACCAAGAAATCATCATCGGATAAAACGGTTGTCTCAGCGCATAACTCAGACATTAAAGGGCCCTTTTTCATAGCCGCTCACGCCTCCACTGGTTTTTGCAGGGCTGGACTGGTCAACGATGAGGGTATTCTAGCTAAAATAGCTCTGGAACCTTGTACACTGTATCACTCTGGAGTATTTTACGAAGTATCGTCGGATCAAGTTTGGAGTTGTTTGGTTGACTGTATAAAGGCAAGTAAGTTATTTACTATAGTCAATGAATAAATTGTTTAAAAAATTACAACCCAGTTTTCGAGAAGTATATTTACTTATACCGTGCTGGCAACTGTTACTGTTGGGTCGGCATTTACATGTGTGGAAGTAAATCGCATAGGGATCTTATTAAGTCGGAGTAGATACGCCTTTCCCTATCAAGTAAAGTAAAATCACGATTGCAAACCGCTTATTTTTAAAAGACTTTTTTTTCAAGAGATAACTAGATAAAATCATTAGATATGTTTCTGAGCATCTGAAAAGGAATTATAAGGACATCGTTAGGGTGTCATTTTTTTATAACGAGAAAATGTCAGTAATCGCGATAATTTGAAAACTCAACTTTTTAACACATAACAGGCCATAACTCAAGAACCACTTTAGATATTGAAACCTTTTTTATTTTCAAGATCGGATATTTTACAATATGTTTACATAAGAAAAATTCGATAAGGTTGTTTTTTCTATTCAAAAATTGTAAACAATCCATCCGTATACTTTTAGAGCATAGCAATTTTCAGCAATCGTGTAATTTTTTTATTGATAAAGATTTTCACATACTGTCTACAAAAAAAATACAGCAGAAATATTAACAAAAGTTCTTAAAAAAACTCCAATCTATTATTTCTAATAGATTTCGAGATATCGATTTTTGAATTCAGAGTTCTAATAGCGCGACCACTATCGAATACCCACTCAATTCCACTTATTTTTACCAAAAATACAAGTGTTTCTAGCTTGCACTTAAAAAAATTCAAGCTATAGAGCAAATTACAACGATTCGTTAATAAATGAACAAATTAAGTATTACGAGACGTAATTAAATCGTGAAGCTGAACGCATGACGTACACCTTTCCCTAGAACTTTAAGTACTGACAGAGGTATTGATTGGGTCCATGGTACAAAGAATACAAGGTATGATCGATAGCGGCTCCAATTTCGTTCAGTTCGCGCATACCACCTGTGACGTCACTAGAAAATTAATGAATAAATAAAAAATAAAGAAAGTTGACAGGAGATCTGCATTTTTTGGGGTTATGGTTAAGAATTGTTTATTTTTAAGACTTTTTAGTTCGTTTAATTTAATAATTACTAAAACCAGCAGTTCCAAAAATATATTTAAAAATAATAATTATCTATTAACACGGATTTGGACGATACGTAAGAATACTAAATTTATTTCTATATTCGGTATAAAATTGTTTATTAGGTTTTTAGTTTGTGATGTTCATGGTAAATAATTTTCATTTTCATTGCCTCTGAATTCACATGAGGACAGAGTTGAGGATATCTATGGAAAAGTAACCACAAGAGGAATTGTTACATCATTTAAAAAATGTTGGGAAGTTTATTGTTTCCCATCGAGAAGTAGAAAATGCCAATGCAGATGAACGTATTGTAATTGTGATAGAAGTAATTCTAAGGGTGAAGTTTATTATAATTAGTGGAAGTAATACCAAGGGTGAAGTTTATTATAATTAGTGACTTGTGCTTCTTTTTATATGTAGAAGTTTCTGGTTTTGAGAATAAATCGGTTGAACGACACCCAAAATTTAAAGGAAGTATTTGCATACCCAGAATATGCCCATCAAGGATTATATAGCTCAAATTTCCTTTAATGGTAGGCAATTATTCAATGCAAATTAACTTTTTAAGTGACTAAAATATTAAATAGTTTACAATATGGTATATCACTAAAAATATATTACTTTTAGGTACAATTAGGGCCCGATACATTTCAAAAAGTAGAATATTATTTTATATTAAATGAGGTATTGTACTAACAATCAATTTATATTAATAACGGAGATTAAAAAATAACAGAATAAATAGTTCTTTTTTATACTACAAAACAAACTATAGAATACAACAGTATTTAAAAAATAAATAAAAGTTATGTCCCGGCCGAGATTCGAACTCCGGTCTCTCGTTTCCCTAGCCCGACTCCTTACGCACTGCTCCACAGTAACTTGCTTGGCGATAATTCAATGACGGTATATAAACAAAAAAACAGGTTTATAACAATATCTTGACGATTTGAACTGGCGCGCGGAGCGTGCTGACCAATAGCGCCTGTTATCACCTGTGACGTAGCGACCAACCTGCGCAATATCATACCTTGTATTCTTTGTACCATGGATTGGGTCGACCGGTTAACTGCGACAAATCTGCTTTCCCCTTCCACGTCTCTTAGCGATGTGCACAGTTTGTCGGTTTATTCATACGTTTGGCAACGTGTTTACTGTCCTCTCTTTGTTCAGTACATTATAAACGCATTGTACTCTTCTTACATACGGAAATCTCGACCCAAGACTAACCTTTCCCAGCCCTTAGTATTATACTTCACATTATACATTCATCGAGGGTTGTCTCACTTGGGTAAAAAAATGTACATTTACACAAACTACTGCAAATGATGCGAAGAAGACTGCCTATGTTTGCCATATAATTATAAGCCAAGAAATTGTACACGTAATTCCAACAGTGCTTTATAATGCTATCCATGTATTCATGCATGGTGGGCGGAAAAGCCACCATAAAAGCTCTCTAGGGTGGGGATCCTTGACAGTTCTGTTTGACGATTCATTTGACACATTTGAATTTGATTTGAAATTTTGTGGATTTGTCAGTCTTTACGGAGCTTATTTTATGTTATTCATTATTTATTCTACTACTGATAGTTGTATAAAGGTAGTAAATCTAGATGGAAATTGTGGCAGAACTTAAATTAACAGTGACACTATCGCGATTTATCGAAAAAGACTCTAAAATAGTTGGTTGTTTAGCGTGCGGTAGATCTCGGCAAAAATTGAGTGAAACAACTTTTCGCTAGTAAGTGACTATATAATATACATACGTGTAGTAAACCGATTATTTAGGAAATTCACTTAAATTAACTAAATTATATATTTTTCTTGCATTTTAGCTTTTATTTATTACTTGTCAAAGATTAGATGTCAAAGAATTTAGATACGTTAATTTGACTTACCTGCTTCAGTAGCGTATCGGATATTTGTGTTAATAAATACTTATTATAACTTATCTATTTTTATTAGAATTATATATTTTTATAACAATTTTAATAACTACCAACATTTATTCACAACGTAAAATAAAACAACAAATTATTGAGTCTACCCCACGTCTTCCCTACATCATAGTTTTACATTTTTTAAATAAAATTAGAACGACACTGATAACCCGTAATTTAAGTCGGCCATATTTGAGGCCCATCGCGGTGTACCTAAGATTTTTGATATGCTCCTTCCTTAGTCTTCTTATTCAAAGCAACAGTGAGACACCCCTTGACATTCATTATTCGTAGAGTAATTTTCTACAATGGACACATTTTTTTCTTTTTTCTAAAAATCTTTTATTTTAGAAATTAAGTGAAGGTGTGAACAAAAACGACATCAAAGCGATATGTTTCACTGCCAGACCTGCATTGGTGTGTGTGGATAATGAAGGAAAACCAGTCACAGCCAGTGTTTCACGTGAGTGTACTATATAAAAACCAAAATAATGTACAGTAGTGTACACATTACTTGGGCCTAACCAGATAGTACGAGAGCTGGCAACGTCGGGAAAACAAGTATTTTAAGACGTCTGGCTCTTTGATATATCTTTTACTATGCTCTCTGGAACAGCATGCGGCCCGTCTGGCTGCCGATACCCGTTGCGTTCACTACTGCGCATCCAAAGAAGATCCTCTATTTTTTACTTAGTGGTTTAGGTAGTATTGAATTTTTTTTCAGCTGTTGTTGCTGTATTATTTTAATAATACTTTTTTTTTAACAGATTGTTATCTAAAAGCTACACAAGTTTATTTTCAGTTCAGTTTGTTAAGATAACGATGGAAAACAAAATTATCTGGTTAAATTAAATTATATAAAATAATAATACTTTCTAAACAAGATTGATTAATGTTAATGAGTAGAAAATGCACAAATCTAGGGGTAAAATATTTAGTTACATAAAAAACTAGCAAAGTAATGTGAAAAAAAACGCATCATTGTATCTCCACTCATAAACGAAAAATCCCAGATATCCCAAATCCCAAAAAAAAACGCACAAAAATGAGACACCCTGTACCCATGTGATGCGCAGTAGTGAACGCCACGTACCGGCGCGGCAGCCAGACCATCCTAAATCTATCTAATAATTAATTACCATAATAATCCTTCAAAACAAATGAAAGTATCAAATTCTACTTATATAGACTACGGATCATAAACCCATAAACGCTATCCGTTCTGGTGATAAAAAAGCAAATATTTAATACTTTACTATCAGAATATAAACGAAAAAAAAATAAAAAAGTTGCACCCCCAGCCGGTATCGAACCACTGACCTTGGCTTCATAGGCGAAAGCTCTACGCGCCGAGCTAATAGAGACTTGCTCGATTTTTATTCAATTCTAGGATTTAAAGCGCTAAGTAAAAAATATAGGATCTTCTTTGGATGCGCAGTAGTGAACGCAACGGGTATCGGCAGCCAGACGGGCCGCATGCTGCTCCAGAGAGCATAATAAAAGATATAGCAAAGAACCAGACGTCTTAAAATACTTGTTTTCCCGACATTGTTAAGTTAAGTACCTTAAAAACTGATCTTAGCGCAAAACAGGCAGCGCTTAGTTTCTTTGATAAAGCTTCGATGTGCAAGTCCCATTTTAACGAGTTGCCTACAACAAGTCCTAAGAATTTTACAGAGTCCACGTCGTTGTGTAGTACTTTTATATGACAAAACTTTAGTTTTTGATAGGTTGAGGCATAGGAGATTAGAATCGCACCGAGATTTAATGGTGTGTAAGTCACTGGATATAGTATTATATAGTGCCGTTCCAAGTGAAACTAGTATCGTCTGCAAAGAGGCAGATTTTACCGCTAATGCCTAGATTTTCAATGTCGTTGATAAACACCAGAAACAAAATAGGGCCAAGTACTGAACCCTGAGGGACACCACAATCTATAGGCTTACAAGAAGACATAGACGTATCAATCCTTACAAGCTGCCTTCTGTTGCCAAGATATGACTTAAGCCATTCGAGCGGCACTCCCCTGAATTCATAGTATTGCAATTTGTTAATTAAGATATTATGATTTACACAGTCATTACGTTGCGTATCTTCCCAATTCTTTCAATCAACGATAATAGTTTGTAATTTTATTAGTAAAACAACAAAAGACTTATTAAAAGCAATTCAAATTACAGTAATCCTTTGTAATAATAAGCTTCCATTTTTTTATGAAAAAGAAGAAAAACTACCACGAATAAATATAAGAAAAGAAAAGAAATAAGAGACCATCTCGAGCATATTGCCTCCGTGCTGCGCTAATATGATTATTTATTAAACCTGGAACAGCCACCATTTTCCTAAATTTCACGAGTAGAATTAGGAATTTGTATAATAAAGCTCCCCAGCTTGTAACGGCATACAATTTAATATCATATTAGAGTATATTTCATATTGTTAGGGGTCCAAATTTGATTGCACACAAACATAAAGAGATATATGAGGTAGTTAAGTGCGTAATCATATTTATAACACCCCCCAAGTAGCATTTTCACGAGTTGCGACCACATGTTTACTAAACACAACGTTGGATTAGTTACAAAAAATAGTTAGCTCCGTACCTTGGGTATTAAAATAAATGTAAACGTTGTTGTAACGTTGTGCCGACGTTGAACTAGTACTACAACAAAGTAAACGCTTCTGCGACGTCGAATAAACGTTGTCTTGTAACCTTTTTTGTTTAAGTGATCTTTAGGTGATTCGGACAACGTAGTTACAATGTTGGGCAATAAAGAGTTTTCCGACGTCACTTTCAGGACCTATTCCAACGTTATGCACCGTCGCCTGTTTTACTAATTCCAACGTTGTTTAGATTTCCTTATTCTTACGTTGGTAGGACGTAGAGCCGCTAACTTTTTGCAACTGTATTGAACCATAACCTTAAATCTTAAATTTTCACTTTATTGTTCTGTTCAGTCAGACAGTTCAGTGCTGTTTTTGTTTCTATAAAAAAAACTTCATTAAAATGGGACGTAAGAAAGGCACATATAAAACTGAATTTAAATATACATCGACATATTACCGATACTTTATCCACTCCCTCGTTTATTTAGAATACAGAGGGCGGCGCAAGCTAGACTCTAGGATGACTATATTAGGCAATCTTGCGACTAGTATACTACCTGTTATTGCTGAACTCCGACTTTGTTAGTCCAGTATGCGACTACTCGAACTACTCTATCTTAATCTCCAAAACAACAAAGTGAAAGCCGCCATGTTGTTGAATAAGAAAATGTTTCGTTCCTAATATAGCAATTCCTGCTTTTTGAAAACATTATCTTGAAATATTTGACCCTAAACAACACGCGGAAACAATTTTTGTTTCGACTGCGAATAAATCATTCTCATTTTACTAAAAAGAAAAATTCAAGAAATTTTTTAAAACTTCTTTAATTTTAAGGCCCATTAGTATTTTTCAAAGTAGAAACAATACATTTATCAATAAAGTTGTTTGCGTTTAATTTTCTTGCCTTGGGTAACGAGTTACAGAGTTGGTTAAAGTGTTTCAATAATTATGATCCTCAAACATCCTCCACACTTAAATACTTTTGTTTTGTTTTCCTTTACTGCCATCTGGCATATGTCTCTAACTAAATCATAAAAATAATATTTTTACTATAATTATCCCAATTTAGGATAAAACGCGATTTAGACGCCGTATTATTACAGTTTTGTACTTCTGTGAATTAGGACTTTAAACAACGTTGCAGTTTGTACTAAATTAGACTGCTAGCCAACGTCGGTATCCAACGTCGTTTCGACCCAAAAATTATTCTCCAAACTAGTGCAGACTAGGGTTGGCACGAGGTTGTGCCGACGTTGCGCCCCGACGTTTGGTCGCGTTTCACAACGTTGTCCCGACGTCCAAAACAAACAAAACAACGCTTTATTGTGCAAAAAGCCAAAACAGCTTCATCGACAAAGCACTCACAAACAACAAAATCACAAAAAAATACAAACAACAAAAAATACACAATACAAATAATACAATTCAAAAAAATTTAAGTCTTTAAAATTGCAAAAAGAATATACATGGACAATTTTAGCAGTACACAGTAAATAGATATGATTTTAGAGTTATAAAATATTAAATACTTGACCTTTGACCAGTGTGTGAGATGATCAAAATTTTAAAATTCAAAATTGTTCATAATTAAACATCAACAAAAATGTCGTTTACAGCATATAGGGCTCTCTCCAGTAAGCATGATTTTAGAGCTTTGCGAAATGCGGGAAAGAATGAAAGCGACTTGATATCCAAAGGCAGATGATTGTACATTTTTTTGGCATTGTACAGTATTGAACCTTTAACTAGTTCTGAGCTCGGGGTTGGCAGATAAAGATCGTGCTCTGCATTCTAAGTGGATAGTTATGAGATGGCCTTTCGGGAATAGCAGATATGTGCTTGCGGATTAAGCAAACGGATTCAAAAATGAATAAAGAAGGAAGAGTCAGTATTTTCAAATTTTTAAAGAAATTCTGGCAGTGAGTTCTACTGTTCAGTCTCAATAAATATCGAAGTGCTCTCTTTTGAAGTCTGAAAACACGATCAAATTTTGTTGCGCAGCAAGTACCCCAGAATGGAAGGGCATAACGAAGATATGACTCAAAAAGAGCATAATAGACTATTCTAGAGGTTGAGAAGTAAAGTTCCTTAGAAACTAATCTTAGCGCAAAACAGGCAGGCGCTTAGTTTCTTTGATAGAGCTTCGATGTGAAAGTCCCATTTTAACAAGTTGTCTACAACAAGTCGTAAGAACTTCACAGAGTCCACGACGTCAATAGTGGTGTTATTAAGTACAAAAGGTTGTATAGTACTTTTATATGACAAAACTTTAGTTTTTGATAGGTTGAGGCATAGGAGATTAGAATCGCACCAAGACTTAATGGTGCGTAAGTCATTGGATATAGTATCATATAGCGCCTTGCAACATCTGGGCCGCTCCAAGTGAAACTAGTATCGTCCGCAAAGAGGCAGATTTTACCGCTAATGTCCAGATTTTGCAATGTGGTTGATAAACACCAGAAACAAAATAGGGTCAAGTACTGAACCCTGAGGGACACCACATTCTATAGGCTTACAAGAAGACATAGACGTATCAATCCTCACAAGCTGCCTTCTGTTGCCAAGATATGACTTAAGCCATTCGAGCGGCACTCCCTGAAACCATAGTATTGCAATTTGTTAATTAAGATATTATGATTACACAATCGAAAGCCTTAGAGAAATCACAGAAAATTGTAGCTGTAGAGTGATGGTTATTCAGGCTAGAGTATACATTATTAAAAAGGTCGAACATAGCATCATTTGTGCAACTGTTACTTAGAAATCCAAATTGATGGGTAGTAAGTATTTTATATTTAAGGAGAAAAGATAGAAACCTTTTTTTAACCAATCTTTCAATGATCTTAGATAATGTGGGCAGGAGTGCAATTGGGCGATAGTTCGAAGCTTCATCTTTATCACCTCCTTTATACAGAGGAATAATTATTGCTGTCTTAAGACAGTTTGGAAAAACTCCTTTTTGGAATGACTCGTTAATTAAAGTAGTAAGATGGTTTAATGTGCATTCAGGAAGTTCAGAGAACATTTTGAGAGTAAGCCCATCAGTCCCAGATGAGGATTTGTTTTTAATACTATTAATTGTACTACGGAGCTCATCTAATACTACGGGCGTGAGGAAGAAACTGTGTAAATTCTCATTTGCTTTAGGGAGATATGAAAGTGAATCATGGGAAGGAGTTATGGTGTTCACTAAATTTTTAGCCACATTAACAAAGTAAGTGTTTAAATCTTCAGGTGAATTAAAGACTGTGCCAGACGAAGAAGTCTTATTCCTTAAGTCATTTACAATAGCCCAAGTCTCCTTAGCGACATTACCGGCTTTGGCTAGCCTCGCATTATAATAAATGTCCTTGGCAGCTTTCATAGTCTTACGATAAACCTTTCTATAAAGTTTCACGTAATTATGAAAGAAGACGCTGTCCGTGAATTTCTTAAGGTGAGATAATGAGCGCATGTTCTTTGCAGATATACGCAAGCCGAAAAATAAGGATATACGCAAGCCGAAAATTTTCATCCGATAAAATACGGCCCAATTTGCGCGAGGTATTTTTACATTTGGATTTCAGCAAAAACCTTGTCAATACTGCCTCATGATCAGAGAAACCCGAGTGAAGGACTCTACAGTCAACGAATTCCGGGTCAAAAGACGACACGACATAGTCTATAGTACTAGAGCCAGTTTTAGTTATTCTAGTTGGTGAGTCAACATGCATGAGTATACCGAAAGAATGAAAAATGGACTGGAGAGACTCCTTAGCTGCACACGTCCAAATGCTGCCTGGGAAGGAGAGTTATTATTATTAAGGTTCGCGAACATTTGCGTACGTTCAGGATCATCAATGTGCTCCAGTATTTTTTAGCCTTTAAAAAATATCTGATCTAAAATTTTTTTAGTTTCTTTATATTAAATCAGAGTCTCCTCTGCTGTCTATGTTGAAAGCATTTCCCAAAACCAGCGAATTATCGTTCTGTTCGCCCCTCTTGTTTCTAGAGATTGCTTGGCTACCTTGTGAGGTATGTTGTGAAACGCCTCCGCATTGTTCAAGAAGACACAAATTTTTATTTCTTTGCTATCCAGGCTTCCCTGTTTTAGCTCCGTTAATTGGCACAGAGCAGTTTTTTTAAATCTGCCCGCTCTATATGCTCTATAGTGCAGTGGTTTAACCTTCAGATAATTTCCTCCATAATGTTTGTCCACTACTTTCTCCATTGTTTTTAATATAAACGATGCGAGACTAATAGACCTAAATGATTTATAGTTGTAGTTTAAGATTACTTTTGTTCGTCTCCAGAGGGTTGGTATATGATTGTGGTTGGTATATGTAAATTGCCCGTTTTAGTGTTTATTCTGTTATTACTAGCTTGGCCACATCCCAGTCTTTCCTGCAAGGATTGTGGGGTTTGGTCAGAGCTACATGCGTATCAATAAATATGCTACCTGGAAAGTGGGTATGAAATAGGAGGTTAGCTCTGTTGTGACGACTTTTCTGTCGTTACCCAAATAGAATGAAAAAAGAATCCGTTGCTCAGGGTTAGAGGAAAGCTGGGTTCGTAGGTAAGGCTTCTGACTCACAGTGACTTTCTAATGTTGTTAAAAAATAAAAAAATGATAATATGTAGGCTGCAGAGATTTTAATATTGATGTTAAGAATTCAAATAGGTATGGTCAAAGACAGTGAAAAGGGCGCCACTTACTTTGTTTATGAGAGTGGTAAAGTAAGAAACCAAAAAGAAAAAATACGATATCACAACATAGCTAAAATAAAGTAATCAACAGCATTAAGGGTCTATTATGTTCATCAGGAATAAAAAAGTCAGAAATATATAACTATCCTACATTAAACATTTATTGAAAACGAACACAAGTATCATCAATTAGTCACAGTGATCCCAATAAAACCATAAGTTATTTTAAATAGATTTGAATTTAGTAACTGTATTCTTTGAACTAAGTAAGCTACTTAATAAAACAGGTGAAATTTATGTATGTCTCAATACGATGATGTTTCGAAACATGTCGTGTACAAAAACCTTTAAAATGAATACGTGTTAATAATTTTCATATAAAATATCATAGCTAAGTAAGAGTGTACTGTACGAAGTCTTCGATATCAGCCAAAAGAACGATTGTAATGTCAGGAACACTGTCTTAAGGTCTGCATAGGTCCATACAAAATGAAAGTGGGTGAAACATACAATAATTACTGCATTATTACTGCATACCATGTGGTAATTACTGAGTACCATGTGGTAGTTACTGAGTACCATGTGGTAGTTACTGAGTACCATGTGGTAGTTACTGAGTACCATGTGGTAGTTACTCTATAAATAAAAAATAGTTCTCAGGACAGATACTCAATAAAAGAAACAACTTACGGTCTGAAAATCAGCTTTACATAAATATATTCAAACCATATGCCGATCCAAACCAGTAATTAAATACTCAAATAAACGAAATAAAAAACGGAAATAACTGAAATAGAATTTAGTTAGATAGGGCTATATAAAATGGCGGGATAAACTTACGGTGATCATTCCAAGAAGAAACCAAACAAATACGATCTATACTCTGGATTGCATACTTTACAAGGTTTTTCAAATTTCCAAATCGGATACCCATGCAATGGAAATCGAAAAGAGGATTCAGAGTGCTTTTCACTGGAAAATTTGTCGGACGCCGAAACACGCGTCTTCTTCAGATCTAAATTCCCAGAAAGAAAGACCTTCTTCTCAGTTTCAGAACCGAAACAAAAAAAACCCTTTTCACCACAGACAAAATGAGAGAGAAAAAAGTGATATCATATGATCGAAATCATTAGAACAGAAAATCGCAATCCACAGCGAAGTGAGATTTGGACAAGTGAAATGCAATTAAGGAAGTTTGGCATATAGCGAATAGATGGCGCTAATAAACAAGACAAGTGAACTGTAAAAAATGAAGTTTAGTATCTTTGGCATCTAGCAAATAGATGGCGCCAATACTAAGAAATTTAAATAAAAATAGATTTTTAAATTCAATTTTATTAAAGGAAATAAAAAATACTACACTGTCTTCATATCTTTCCGTATAGCTCCCGTCAGATTTATTAAGTGCCATGTTGGGGCTAGACCCACTCTTGGCCATGGCTTTGTGTAGTCTAGCTGCCTAAGGAGTAGAACTGGTGTTTTCGTACTTCTTACTGTACTCAGTTAATTTCTCGGTGTAGAGCCACTGAATTTAGCTCTGTTAAAGAGTCGTCGATAGTTACGCTGCAATATAAATATGTTCAGAAAGATGACTAACATGATCTGAATACCTATTTGTTCCAATTTTTTCGGTTATAAAAGTTTTTCACCAGAATAATAATAAAAAAACATTCTTCTAGGAGATCCATCAAGGAACGTCATCCTGCACTACGATCAAAGATCGATGCAGGAAGTGGAAAAAATCAACAAAACCCGTCACAACCTTTTGCAGTATTTTGGAGAGCGAGCACTACCCGAACTGCAAGAATCGAAAATAATGTGGTTGAAAAATAATCTGGAGAAGGATTGTTGGAAGAAAGTGGGCAGCTTTTTCGAACTGACGGATTTTTTAACTTGGAAAGCTACAGGTTCTCAAACTAGGTAAGTAATGTTTTCTAATATTTTTTCTTGTCAAGTCTCTCTAGACACAATGTTTTTCCAGATTTATGCACTTTGCATAAAATATATTAAGGTTGTTGATTTTTATTTTTTTTTAGATCATCTAGTATACTGACGTCAAACTGGAGTTACGAAGTGGCTGTTAACGGCGTTGAAGGATGGAACAGGGACTTTTTCAAAGAAATTGGCTTGGAAGAGTTGGAAAATGACGACTGGAAGAAAATTGGTAAATTAATTTTCCTATGTAAAATAATGTAGGGGATATATTTTATATACAGGGTGTATTCCGGAAACTTCGGCAGCATATTTTGCAGATAAAAATAATTAAAAAAGTTTATATAAATATATGTCCAAAAATGCTTGGTTTCATAGATACAGGGTGTAGAAGTTTCATTTTTATTTCGATTTTTTTCAAATAATTTCTGTAGTAACGTCAAAATTTGGATGAACAATGATGTTTGGGAGTTTTTTTGGGAGAAATTTGATTTTTATGCCAATATGGAACTCCACCGATTAAATATAGATGTTGCCGCTCTAAGCGAAACACGCTTTGCAGATGAAGGTAGTCTCACTGAGGAGCATTACACCTTCTTTTGGAAAGGTCATCCCGCAACACACAGGAGAATTCATGGTGTAGGCATTGCGATCAAAAACGAAATCGCCACCAAGTTAACAGAAGTACCTATTGGTGTCTCCGAACGTCTTATGACCCTAAGGTACCCCATATCAGACAAAACTTACGTCAACAACATTAGTGCCTACGCTCCCACCCTTGACGCTAAAATTGAAGATAAGGATAAATTTTACCAAGCATTACAAAATGCCTTTCAACGAATTCCAAAGCACGAACGAATCATCTTGCTAGGTGACTTTAATGCCCGTGTAGGCAAACAACAGGAAATATGGCCTGACGTATTGGGAAAACAATGGAAAACGCAAATAGCAATGGTGAACGCTTATTAACAACATGCGCAGAGTATAATCTTTGCATCACCAATACGTGGTTCATGTTGATGAACAAGTTTAAAGATACCTGGAAACATCCTAGATCAGGCCACTGGCATCAATTGGACCACATAATCGTTCGAAGGATGCATCTAAAAGATGTTAGGCTCACAAAAGCTAGAATAGATGCCGAATGCGGCACTGACCACCGACTTTTAATTTCAAAAATGAAAATCCAGTTAAAACCCAAACATCCACGCTGTAAAAAGCAAAACAACATGACCAGATTGAACGTAGGGGTCTAGAGAACAACAATACCGCCGACGCCCTCCGGGAAGCCATCAAAGAATTACTTTCACCGATAACTTCAATCTCAATATTGGATGCTGAACAAGGCTGGACACAATTAAGAGATGCGATTCATAAAACCAGCGAAGCAGTACTGGGAAAGTCGAACAAAAAGAAACAACCAGACTGGTTTAACGAAAATCAACCGCATATACAAGCTTTGTTGGAACAAAAGCATAGAGCACATCAAGTAGTCACTGCAAATCCACATAATCCAAGACAGGTAGACAACTTTAAAGCAGCCAACAACACGACGCTTCGAAGAGAACTGCGCCAAGTAAAGGATAACTGGTCGTCACAAAAAGCGAATCAGATTCAAGTGTACGCCACGCATCACGATTATCGTAAATTCTACGAGGCTGTAAAAGAAGTATACGGTCCAACTAAGAACGTAAGCTGCCCAATCATGGCACAAAATGGCGAACTTCTAAAAGAAGAAGAACAAATCAGAAATCGCTGGAAAGAACATTACAGCCATATCCTTAACCAAGAAAACAACCCCAATATGGAAGCACTAAACACAACACCTCAGTATAACAGCCTCGATGTATTAGACATCCCAATAACAGAACAGGAAATAAAGATCTCCATAAAACAGCTTAAAAACAACAAATCAGCTGGCTGTGACGCGATTCCGGTGGAAATCTATAAGTGTGCAAGTAAAGAACTTATTGGTCATCTTAAGGCTCTCTTCGATGTCGTATGGGAAAGCGGAGAGGTACCTGAGGACTTTCGCAACGCGAATATAGTGAATATATTTAAGGACAAAGGAAGTGCATCAGACTGCGGCAATTATAGGGGAATTTCGCTATTTGCTATCGGCGAAAAAATTTTTGCAAAAATAATGTCAAACCGCCTGCACCCATATATAGAAAAAATCCTTCCAGAATCGCAAACGGGTTTTCGTACCAACCGCGGCACCGTCGATTCCATATTTTCGATCCGTCAACTACAGGAAAAAGTAAAAGATCAGCAGTCTAAACTTTATGTTGCATTTGCATTCATCGATCTAACGAAAGCCTTCGACTCTGTGAACAGAGATGCGCTTTGGGCAATTATGAAAAAGTTCGGAGTACCCAACAAATTTCTTACAGTGTGTAAAAGCCTCCATAACAACAACAAGTCAAGAGTGTCACATCATGGATCACTGGGCGATCCATTCCTAACAAATACAGGAGTTAGGCAGGGATGTGTCTTAGCGCCTCTCCTATTCAACATATTCATGGCAGCGCTCTCCATTATAGTGGACAGCAAACTGCAGGAGAGAGGATTGGGCATTAGATACAGATATGACGGCGTCTGTTCAACATAAAAAGACTCAGGGCAAAAACACGTACAAAATTTATCACAGAACTTCAATACGCTGACGACTGCGCTCTAGTTGCAAACACGGTACAACAATTACAAGAAATGTTGAACACATATACCTGGGCATACGAGGCTTTGGGCCTTAAGCTGAACATCGGCAAAACTAAAATCATGTGCACTCCCCCGGAAGATCACAACAATGCTATAAAAATCGGAGAAGAACTATTCGAATATGTGGCGGAATTCAATTACCTTGGCAGTTTGATTTCGGAAAAGGCCAATATTGACTCTGAAATTCAGCACAGGATTAGTAGCGCCTCAAGAGCATTCTGGAAATTAAAAGACAGGGTTTTCTACAATCATGACTTGAGTACAAAAACAAAACTTGCAGTATACCGAGCAATTATAATCCCCACCATGATATATGGGAGCGAAACCTGGGTGCCTTACCGCCGACACATGAACGCATTGAACAAGTTGCAACAGAGACACCTTAGACAACTCTTAAGAGTCCGGTGGTTCCATCATGTCTCAAACGTATCGGTCCTTGAAAAATCTAACTGCGAGAGTATTGAAGTCATGGTCACAAAATCCCGCTTAAGATGGGCTGGTCACGTATGCAGAATGCAAGAAAACCGCATACCAAAATCTCTGCTTTACGGTGAGCTTGTGGACGGTAAGAGGAGGCCGGGTGGACAACTGAAAAGATACAAGGACATTTTCCACGAAAATTTAAAGGGAATTAACATGCAGAATGAGTGGGAAAAAGCAGCTCACAATAGAACTCAATGGAGAAGGGTTGTAAACTCAGTTAACAGCGGCAACCAAAAAGTAGAGAGGCAACAAAGCAATGAGATTTTTGAATGTCCGGAGTGCGGTAGGCAGATAACATCACGTATCGGGCTTTTCAGTCACAGAAAAGCTCATGAAAGAAAACGCCTTGCGTGACCATTTTCTTTATGTGTGTCGAATACTCGTCAGCGAGTAACGGCTGTGTGTATGCCAATATGACTCCTATTTATAGGGGGCGCAACGTACATGTGTTTTAATTGATTTGAAGAGTAATAACTTTTCGTCCGTACCTTATAAAACTACTGAGTGAAAAAATATCCATTTCCGTGATTTTTTACGTAAAAAAATGTCTCTTGGTAAAAATCGCTACGAGTAACCGTTCTCAAAATATTTAGAACGGAAATAGTCAATACATGTTATTATTGACCAAAAAATAAACATGAGTAGATAGTTATTTGACTGAACTGATAAATTTGGGAACTTTTTTTAAATTAATCATAATTTTTTTTTCGAAAAGATGACGATAAAACGGTTTCTGCTAAACTTTTGGCATAAAAACATTTCAAATTTATGATTTTAATCTAATAACTATTTAGTCAACATGTTTAATTTATGTCAATGATGACAGGTAGTGATAATTTCGATTCCAAATACTCGAAAACCGTTACTCGTACTGATTTTTACCAAGAGACCGTTTTTACGTAAGAAACTTCGTAAATGTATATTTTTTTAATCTTTTTTGTACAGGTACGAAAGGAAAGTTATTCGTTTTCAAACCAGTTAAGAGAGGTGACGCCCTCTACAAGTAGGAGTCATATTGACATCAAAATCAAATTTCCCATGTCAAAAAACTCTTAGACACCAATTTTCATCCAAATATCGACATTAGTACAAAATACTTACTGAATATCAATTTGGATTTCTAAGCAACAAGTCCACAAATGACGCTATGTTTTCCCTCCTTAATAAAGTTTACTCCAGCCTAAACAACCATCACTCTACAGCAACAATTTTCTGTGATTTTTCTAAGGCGTTCGATTGTGTAAATCATAAGATCTTAATTAATAAACTGCAGCACTATGGGTTCAGGGGATCATCTCTCGAATGGTTTAAGTCATATCTGAGCAACAGAAGTCAACTTGTGAGGGTGGATACCACGTTGTCTTCTAGCAAGCCAATAGAATGTGGAGTACCACAAGGCTCAGTACTAAGCCCTATTTTGTTTCTTCTTTTTATTAACGACATTGCTAACATAAACATCAGTGGCAAAATATGTCTTTTTGCGGATGACACTAGCATCAGTTGGAGCAACAAGGACATCACGGCACTTCATAGGATTATATCAAATGACTTAATCACCATTAAATCTTGGTGCAATTCGAACCTCCTAAGTTTCAACATTTCTAAAACTAAAGCTTTGTCGTATAAAAACTCGTTGCAGCTTTTTGTACTTAACAACACCACCATTGACGTCGTCAAATCTGTAAAATTCTTAGGGCTTGTTGTGGACAATTCTCTGAAATGGGACATACATATGGAAGCTTTGTCGGAAAAATTGAGCTCTGCCTGTTTTGCATTAAGGTCTGTTTCTAAGGAGCTTAACTTGTCAGTGGCTAAAACTGTTTATTATGCACTTTTTGAGTCGCACCTCAGGTATGCCCTTCCATTCTGGGGTATGTGTTGTGCGACTCAATTTGACCGCATTTTCAGGCTCCAGAAGAGAGCTGTTCGATATTCACTGGGATTATACAGCAGAACTCATTGCCGGGACTTTTTAAAAAAATAAAAATATTGACTCTTCCTTCCTTATTTATATTTGAATCCGTTTGCCTAATACGTAAACATGTATCAGCTTCTCAAGAAAGGCCATCTCACACTTATCCACTCAGGAACGTGGAGCAAGATCATACCTACTATCATATCTACCTACCACACGCTCAGAGTTAGTTAAAAGTTCAATATTATACAACTCGAAAAAAATGCACAATCACCTGCCATTTGAAATCAAATCCATAACATCATTTTTTTCATTTCGCAAAGAATTGAACTCTTATTTACTAGACAAGGCTTTCTACGCCGTAAATGAATTATATTTTGAAAATAAAATTTGATCTTGTAAACACTGGTCTACTGTTTGCTATTGCTATATTTACTAATGACATCGAAATGAATTTATTTAGAGGTCATTGATATTTTGCTATAAACTGGCTAAATATTTTTGAATATTATTTTAAATTTTTTGTTCTTTGACATTGTAAACATTTATAAATTGTTATTTTAACAATAAGACTGACAATATTATTTATATAATGTTTTGTATTATCTTTTGTTTGTTTGTTTGTGTACCTTGTTTTTTTTCTACTTTGTTTGTTAGTTTACCTTTGTCTACAAATTGAAAAATTTTTTGACAATAAAGGCATTTATAATAATAATAATAATAATTAATAATTGAGAAATTAATTAGAAAAAATTGAAATAAAAATGAATCTTCCACACCCTATATCTCCGAAATTAAGCATTTTAGGACATACATTTATACGAACTTTTTTACTTATTTTTATCTACAGAATATGCTGCCAAAGTTTCCGGAATACAGTTCGTACCACCCAGTATAGAGAGAAACCAATAAAAGTTGCACGTGCACGGTCTTTACGAAATTAATTATCCAGACAGAGATATGTCATTTGGAAGGCCTGCGAATGGCTGAGCATATAAGGTGTCTCTTATAATAGGCGGAAAACTGCAATAATCTCTGACAGTCAAGCAAGGTTGAAACCACCCCTAGATCAATTATTGTTCTCGTACGACTACAATGGCTCGTATTTTCTTATTCTCCGCCTTTTAATTAGTATAAATACCCTCAGTTTTAATAAAATCAGTGACATGACGAAAATCCCCAATTTTCATAAGTATATTTGTGGTATTTTTGGCTATTTTTTACTAAATTTTCAAAGTCCCCAAGAATCATGGTAAACATGGTCATAAAATTATGAAAAATTCAGTAGGAAATTTTATGTAGATTCAGATTAATTTTAACATTTTTATAAATTTCTTTCTGGGTGGGGTAATTACCCCTATTATCCCTTTCGTACATGTGCCCCTGTATAGTAGTATATTTTATAAAAAAAATCTAGATACTGACTATACAGGGTGTCCCAGAAATAAGTGCAGATATTTTAACTGGTAGTATAGTTCAACCCCAGAAACACGCCTATGAGGGTTTTTTTGCGAAAAAAAATGTTGAAAATTTTATATTTTTCTTGACATTTTCCGGAAAATGTTGAAAAACTTTTGAGTGCCACTGTTCACTCCCCGGGAAATTCGTTTACCGGGCATAGAGAGTGTCGGAGAGAATGCAACGTTGCCACCTCCTACCATACCCACATTCTGCATGTTTATCTATAAATTCAATTATTTTAAGTTGCTACAGAAAAAATACAAATTAATTTTATTCATATTAGTGTAGATTGCTCTACTAATTCTAGAGAAACGCGCAATATTTTAAATACTTTTTACAGTGGAGTAAACTGAAAAAATAAATCTTAACAATTATTATAGCTTCTTTTTTCGCCATATTAGGAAATATTTTCAATCGTTTCACAATTGCCTGAGAAATTACGATCGATGCCATTTACCATCCAGTTTTACACAATAAAATGCCATCGATCGTAATTTCAAAATCAGAAAACTTGCCGCCGTTTTTTCCAATGAAATGGGCGGTGGGGAGAAAATTACAGATTTCTGTATTATATTAACGACATTATTAATAGCATGTCCACAAAGCATTGACACTATTAGAAATCGATCTAATTTCTAATAGTATCGAGCTTTTAAAATTCGAGAAAGCGATCGGAGATTGTGTTTAAAGTGTTGTGAAATGTTCGTTAGTGCATATTTTTGTGTCGGTAATCGGTATCGGTATAGACAAATCGCGATGGAGTATACAATTCCGGAGAAGGTGGATAGTGGATATGCTAAGAGCATACTTCCTGGCAGGGGAAAGCGCTGTAGAATCTCGGAGGCTTTATTCCGAAGAGTATCCGAATAGACAAATCCCTAATGCTCGAACCTTTGTAAGTATGGTTCAGCATTTGAGGGATTCGGGAAAAGCAACGAAGAATTGCTGTAAAACGTTAAAAATTCCATGCTCAGAAGAAGGAGAGCATGTATTGGAAATGGAGGTCGTCATTTTGAACAATTATTATAATAGTATGCAGTCAAGAAGCGAAGGGTATACCGGATGGTGCATCATCGTTGGAAATATAGGATATCCCATGCAAATTTTGAACTGTCCAGATATTGGATCCCCTTGTTCAAATTTGTAATGTATCTTTAAAAACCATTTACGATTTAGCTCTAAAATTAATAGAGGAGCCAATATTTCCACAGTTGAACATTTGCATAGTGTTGTTAAGAATTGTAGTGAAGTGTTGTTAAGTGTAGTGTTATGTGCAGTTTTAAGAGTGGTAAAATGGATAAAACAGAAAGCTGTGCAGTTATCTCTCTGCTATAGGGATATGTTTTTTTATTGTTTGGTAAGTTTTTTTTCTTTTAGTTTATTTTGTGGAATGTGGAAAGTAGGGCTACTGGCGAACACCCACTTAAAAAAAAGTAACACACCGCTGCAGAACCTCTTGGGTGGTGTGGAATTTTGCAAGTACTTTTTAAGTCTTTCTAGTCGATGTGGCAACAGCGGGCGACGAACAAGCCGAGATCCGCGAGATTTCTCCCCTGCGCCGGGGGATCCGCGAGATCCCCGGCGGCTCTCAAAATGTCGCAATTTTTTTTTCAAACTTTCAAAGTTAAATAACTCGGTTATTTTCAATTTATTTTAAAAATGGTAAAGAGAAAATATGTTTATTTTGACAGATCTACCACCCCTTAAAATATCTGCACTTATTTCTGGGACACCCTGTATGTTTGATAAACAAATAGGATCAACAATACAAGCAGCGGGTCTGCCAGTTGGCGAAGGCTTGTCGGCCAGTGCAGCAGAAGAAATTGGCTTGCCAAAGGGTTTACCAATAGCAACGTCCATGCTGGACCAATACGCCGGATATTTAGGACTTTTAGGAATCCATGTGGATGGAGTCAATAACGACATAACCAAAAGATTATGTAAGTATGACTTTATTCACTCTTAAACGGGATTTACACTGTATATTTGAGGTACAGAGTGTCCTATTTTCGTATGTTTTCCAGGGTATTTCATTTATAAATAGAGGTACGAAGGTGCAGTTTCCACATTACTCTTGGGACACCCTGTATATCATTTTAACCTTTAATTTCAAAATTTACCTAAATTTTGATTTCCATCAAAAGTTTCAAAAGTTCAAAGGTTTTGTAGTCCATTAGGATAATTGGATGTTTGCGTTTTGCCAAAACCTCTGTGATCTTAGCTGTTCTATTTATTTGGCAGAGGTGCCTTAAGGGTTCAAATTTATGACTATGAGGCAAGGCATTACAAACTTTACATATTAGTAAATGATAGGAGAGACACAATTAACGCCTTCTATCCAAATTGCCACATAGGGCTTTTTATGCTAGAAGCAAAATGATCGGCATATAACAGATAATACTTTTAAGAAATAGAATGGCATTTTTAACAAAAAAAAAACTAAATCTAAATTTAAACGTAGTCCTCGTCTGCTCATTTCTTTGACAAATTCTGCACAATCATAACATATTCCATAATTTCCTGAATTTACTCCTGAATATAAAGTAACAACACCCCAAGCAGCATTTGGACGTCAGGACAACGTTGTGTCACGCGACCAAACGTCGGGGCGCAACGTCGGCACAACCTCGTGCCAACGTAGTTTGGTGAATAGTTTTTGGGTCGAAACGACGTTGGATACCTACGTTGGCTAGCAGCCTAATTTAGTACAAACTGCAACGTTGTTTAAAATCCTAATTCACAGAAATACAAAACTATAATAATACGGCGTCTAAGTCGCGTTTTATCCCAAATTGGGATAATTATAGTAAAATATTATTTTTATGATTTAGTTAGAGACATATGCCAGATGGCAGTAAAGGAAAACAAAACAAAAGTATTTAAGTGTGGAGGATGTTTGAAGATCATAATTATTGAAACACTTTAACCAACTCTGTAACTCGTTATCCAAGGCAAAAAAGTTAAACACAAACAACTTTATTGATAAATGTATTGTTTCTACCTAAATAAATACTAATAAAGTCGCAGTTCAGCCTTAACAGGTAGTATACTAGTCGCAATATTGCCTAATTTAGTCATCCTAGAGTCTAGCTTGTGCCGCCCTCTATATTCTAAATAAACGAAGAAGTGGAAAAAGTATCGGTAATATGTCGATGTATATTTAAATTTAGTTTTATATGTGCCTTATACGTCCCGTTTTAATTAAGTTTTTTTATAAAGACAAAAACAGCACTGAACTGTCTAACTGAACAGAAAAATGAAGTAAAAATTTAAGATTTAAGGTTATGGTATAATACAGTTGCAAAAAGGTAGTAGCTCGACGTCCTACCAACGTAAGAATAAGGAAATCTAAACAACGTTGGAATTAGTAAAACAGACGACGTTTGCATAACGTTGGAATAGGTCCTGAAAGTGACGTCGGAAGACTCTTTATTGCCCAACATTGTAACTACGTTGTCCGAATCACCTAAAGATCACTTAAGTAAAAAAGGTTACAAGATAACGTTTATTCGACGTCGCAGAAACTTTTACTTTGTTGTAGTTCAACTCTAGTTCAACGTCGGCACAACGTTGTAGAATGTAGAATGTAGAATGTTTAGGAGGGGAGTTAATCACCGCGACCTTATATAGATCTATTGTGTGTTCCTCTTTCTTGAGTAATAACGAGTTATAACTCATCATACAGTCTCAGGGCTTTAAGAAAAGCCAGTATCTGAGACGGCTCCACAGAGGCCAGCTCTCCATCCTCGACATCAGACGTACCAAGGTTCATGGCACGAATGGTCGTCGTCTCGACGCACTCAGTGATAAGGTCTTCTGGTGTTTCCCCATTTTCCCCACAAAATCTGCATTCGCCGTTGTTTCTCAGTTTCAGCCTACTGAGGTGTTCGTTGAGGAGAAAGTGTCCTGTTAGAAACCCCGTGACAATCCAAAGATTGTTTTTACTTAAATCAAGGAAAACCTTTGATTTTTCTCGGTCGTAAGTTCTGAGGAACTTTTTCGAGTGTCTTAGACCGTTGGAGGACACCCATTCTAAATTACGGATGGAGTCTTCCAGATTCTTCAGTTCCGCTTTCAGTTGGTTCCCGTTAGGAAAACAGAACGGTTCTGGTCCAGTTAGTGGAGTGTTCGCTTCTTTTCTAGCTAGATCATTTGCTTTTTCATTGCCTTCTATCCCTTGGTGAGCAGGCACCCAAACTACACCGACTTTATTTTCTTTGCCTAATTTGTTAAGCTTCTCTAGGCATTCTTTGGCCAACTTCGAATTGATGGTTACTGAGTTGATCGCGTTAAGTGCTGCTTGACTATCGGATAGGATGGCAATTTCCTGTTTTCGATAGTTTCTATCTAAGATAAATTGTACGCATCTTTCGATAGCGTAAATTTCTGCCTGAAGGATACTGGGGTAGGTGCCCATTAGTTCGGAGTATTTAGTTTTCGGCCCAAATACTCCTATCCCTGTCCCTGCTTTGGTTTTGAAAGCATCAGTATACCAAGTGATGGTATGGTCTTTTATATGCTGAGTAAGCGTTTCTTTCTTCCAATTCTTTTTATTACTCAATACTACAGTGAGGTGTTTCTCAAAGTTGTAAATTATTGGTATGTCATCCACTGGGAGGTGGAGAAGTGGAATTTTATTTTTGAGGGTGTTCCAAGCCCCCGACCTGAAAATTCTCCCAGTACTGTTTCCGTCAGTAACCATTCTAATCATTGTCGCATTGGCACAACTACCTACGACAATATGCAGTGGTGTTAGGTCTAGAATGACCTCCATTTCCGCTGTTGGACATGTTCTCATGGCACCTATGATGCAGATACATGCCAGTCTCTGTACTTTGCACAGGTTTTGCCTTGCTGTAGGTTGCTCTAGTTTTGTATACCTAGCAACTGCTCCATAAGTAATCATGGGTCTTACTATCATGGTATACAACCAGCGCAAAATGTTAGGGGCGCAGCCCCACCTATTTCCCGCCAGTCTTCTGCATATCATGAGAGCCTTTGTGGCTTTGCTGGTAATGTTCTTAATATGCCTGTTCCAGAGAAGTTTACTATCCAGGGTTATTCCCAGATATTTCACTTCCTGTGATGGCAGTATTTCCTTTTCATCTAGATGGATACTTTTCAAGTTTCTCAAACTTCGCTTTCTGGTGAATGGCACTACTGCGGTTTTATCTGAGTTAATACTCAGCCCGACAGTCCTGCACCATCTCTCAGCGATGCGGAATCCTCTTTGGATACGTACAATGTTACAACAACGTTTACATTTCTTTAAATACCCAAGATACGGAGCTAACTATTTTCTGTAACTAATCCTTCGTTGTGTTTAGTAAACATGTGGTCGCAAGTCGTGAAAATGCTACTTGGGACTAGACACTTTTTTCAAATAATACAAAACAATTTCGAATACGACTACTTTTTCGTGAAAGTAAACTTAAAAAACAGTAAATACAACTCAGCAGCAGTTACATTTCTTTCTTTATTCCAATACCCTCTAATACTGATTTATTTTGCTGCCGACGTGCGACCTGGCTGTCAGCAATGCATTTCCGCCGATAGGAGTCGATATTCAGAAGGATCTATACATCCATCAGTAGTACCGATAGCGGAGACAGATCCTTGGATTCGTGTCCATCCGAACTTAATCATCTCTACTTTGTTCCTGAAATACGTGTATCGAGTTACTTTTAGTATCTCTGTTATCTAAATAAAATAAAAATATCATCTAAATAATTTTCATCTAATTTTCAGGTATAATAATGGGTGATGTGGGATCATCTCATTTTATTCTGTCGCCCAATCCTGTATTCGTAAAAGGGGTTTGGGGTCCCTTTAAAGATGTCGTCTTGCCCAACATGTGGCTGAATCAGGCTGGACAGCCTACCAGTCAAGGACTAATCCAGCACATTATTGATAATCATCCCTCCTCAACGGAGATAAGGAAAAAGAGCAGAATGTAAGCTTACAAAAGATCTAATTTGGTTTTATTGAGCCTATTTTGATGATTTTTAAGTAACTTTTAATCAATTTGTACTCTAGCAGAGATGGGCTTAAGTCCAAAAAACCAAAAAAAAAAGCGTCTAGTGTAACCTCTAACTTGTCATAAGAATTATTAAGAATTAATTTGTGTTATTTTATATTCTACTAAATTAATTTAGCTAATTTTCTATACAGGTTGTTTCAATATTCTGAGGACATGGAAGACAATTGGAAATAACTTATCTCCATAGAAAAGGGCTTTGTTTGTCCGTCAAAGAGCAGCAATAAAAAATAAACCTGAATGTTAATTAATTTAAAATTTTTGAAGCTTATTGTCAAAGATCATTTGTGATACTTTAGTAGATGTATATCCACGGAATATTGTGATAACCTGTATATTAGTAACTTGGATATAAAATGTATATATCTGTATTTAAAGCGTTGTTCTTGTATCCGATTTGCAGGCACATTCAAAAATACCTGAACAAACTTTTGAAAGTGAAGGCCCAGCAGCGCAACTTGAAATGCCGATCGTACTTGACCAGGGACCTGCACATTTTGCCGGACTTCAACGGCAACAGGAGCCCACTGGCCGATCCTTTAATCAGGGGAATGGTACGAAAAACTCTAAACTATTTCATCGTTTGGGTTAAGCCCAGTTGACACTGTCAAAGTTTACTTTAAAGGTTCTAACCCCCCAACTGTAAGTTGGAACTATCCAAACAGCATCATCTAAGTGAAACGCGCGCAGCATCCAAGTGTACTTGGACACTTTGATCGTGTCAATGAGGTTTGATACTTTTTCCATAGCAACTGTTAAAATTGCCTTATATCTATCAAAAATAGTAGATAAAATAGGTAGTACTTTAACCGCAAGGGTAGATTAAATGATACTTGAGATAACAGCGAGGATAGATTAAAAACTTTATTTCTTCTCGCACGTTTTTTAATTGCTTCCATTTTTGAAAATTTCTCTATTCCTTTTCATAAGTTATTCGGGATTTAAATGGAAGTAGTTGTTAGTAATCTGTTGGTAATTTACTTATTTCGTTTTGAGCCATTTCTGGCTCCAATTCAATCAGCAATCGACATGAAAGAGAATTAAAAACTATCGACTCAAAACTGACAACTAAAGAGACAGCTTTGTATATTTGTCAAATTACATAGAAACCAGCGCCAACCCAGCACAATATTTTTTCTACTCGTAATAAATTCCTTAAATAATAATATCTGAATATTTTTTAAAACGTAACCCGCTATGGAAAAAATATATATATATATATACTTCACAAAAAACAAGGCCTACTTAATAAAGTTTTTGTGGTGAAAAATTTGCAAAATCATATTAGCGATTTTTTTTCAAAAGATTTGAGTACACCCCTACATTCGGCATCCCCCAAAACAGTTCTGTACCAAATTTCGTTTAAAAATATTAATTATTAATAATTCTGCAGTTAAATTAAATAATTCCCTATTTTTGCCAATTTAACGATGAGTTATCACGTAACCCTTGAAAAAAACAATCCACAACAATGGGTTTTATTACAAACAATGATAAAAATACTACAAGCAACACAATAACCGAATAATAAGTTAAACATATTCAAATAATTCTAGTTGCTTCTACCAGCCCTCCATTCAGTTCAATACATTTGTCGCATCTTTTTCTTAGATTAACAGTTACATTGCTAAGCTGCTGTGGTGTAATATTTGCAGAAGCCTCTGTAATTCTAATACGTAATTCATCTACAGATTGAGGTCTAGACTTGTAAACTTGTTGCTTTAAGAAACCCCAAAGAAAGAAATCAAGGGGTGTTAGGTCCGGGGATCTCGGTGGCCACCAATTAGCGGGCTATTTCGACCTATCCACTTATTTTCAAAATTTTCATTTAACCATTCCCTGACAACTGCCGCGTTATGCACAGGTGATCCGTCCAATTGAAATTTTAAATTCAAACGGGTTTGGCATGGTAAATTATGTATTGCATCCCAAAAGTCATTAATCAGAAAATTCAAAAACGTTGGACTATTCAAATTTCTCTCAAAAAAATATGGACCAATGATTCTATCATCAAGTATGCCACACCACACATTTAATTTCTGAGAATACTGTCTTCTTGTATTGATCACCCATTCAGGGTTTTCGACTGCCCAGAATCGCGAATTTTGAGAGGATACTACTCCGTTTGTACTAAATGTTGCCTCATCACTAAATAAAATTTCTTTTAAGAAATTTCTATTATTTAAATACTCTGCTTGAGCCCATAAGCAGAATTCTAATCGTCTAACATCATCTCCTTTTCCAAAGTGTGTAAAATCTTTGGTTTAAAGGGTTTAACTTTATTAGTTCGCAAACATCTCCTAATATTTTCCCTTGGTATATCCAAATCAACACTGGCGCCTCTAATGCTTGCACGAGGATTGTTACGAAAATATTCTAATATTTCCTCATTCCGCCTATTTATTCAATGTTCCGGCCTTCTGTTTTTTAGTAAGTATTTTGACACACAACCAGTTTCATTAAAAACTCTATTTATTCGTTGAACCGTGCTTCTACTTACTGCAGGTCTGTCGGGATGTCTGTTGTTAAATTCTCTGGCAGCTTCTCCTGCTTGAAGATAGTTATCACCCACTAAACGAATCATTTCAATTTTATCCCTAATATTTAATTGTTCCATAATGCAAATAATATTTCTTGATACAACACTTTTCTGCGTGCTATTAAATTAATATTCAATTCTACGCTGCAAGAATTGACAGCTAATAAAACCCATTGTTGTGGATTGTTTTTTTCAAGGGTTACGTTATAACTCATCGTTAAATTGGCAAAAATAGGGAATTATTTAATTTAACTGCAGAATTATTAATAATTAATATTTTTAAACGAAATTTGGTACAGAACTGTTTTGAGGGATGCCGAATGTAGGGGTGTACTCAAATTTTTTGAAAAAAAAACGCTAATATGATTTCGCAAATTTTTCACCACAAAAACTTTATTAAGTAGGCCTTGTTTTTTGTGAAATAACATGACATTGAAAAAAAAATCATCAAAATCGGACTATAAACACAGATTTTATGGAGGGTGCCCGGTCTTGAGTGGGTCACACTGTATATATATATAATAATATGATATATATATATATAGTATATATATATATATATATTATATATATATATATATATATATATATATATATATATATATATATTTATATATATATAATAAATAATAATATAAAATAATATATAATAAATATATATAAATAAATAATATTTTCTTGCCTTTAGCTGTGTATTTTTTTCTAATTTCGAAAGTAGAGAAAAAATAACAATAAAAAGTAAAAAGAAAATTGTTTTGCTTGTCGTAAAGGGGGGAACCAAGCTCCACTCCCACAACCGGTTTCTGGGTTGTGGGAGTGGAGCTTGAAAAGAGAGAGCTGGCTAGCTACATTGGGTCGATTTTGAACAAATTCTTCTAAGCCATTCCGACATTGGAGTCGTATCTTAAGTCAAAGAGTTCAAATTTGTTAATAGATTGGTTTGGTCCAATGTAAATAAATAAAGACAAGTTTAAATTTTTTAGTGTCAACATAAGAAAGATAATTCTACTAATGTAATATTATCTTATTCTAATAATAATTATATAGGTAACAGGACTGTCGATGTATCCGAAACAAGAAGATCTGGCGATACTATATCTGGCCACCTTGCAAGCTTTAACGGTAAGCATGCGCAATTTATCCTGTTTTTGTAAATAAAAGGATTTCGGACTTCCATTGTCTTTATTTATTTTTGGCTTACACAAGGTTTCAGTCAGATGTATTACTGACCTTTATCAAGTGTACCCTAATCTAATTCCTAAAACTACTGAGCTTTTATACTGCGGTCAGGCATTCACTCCTAAAAAAACTGAGAATAGCCTGCATTGCATTGGAGCGTTTTATCAGTGGTTGCCATATCGGAGGTATTTCGGTACTAGGATTGCTAAAAATTTCTGGAAATCTATTCAAAAACTGTCATGACCCGATGGCGGTGTTCAGCCAGACTCGACAAGAAAGATGTTAAAAGGCCTTGCTATAATACTGATGGTAAACTTTAAAAATATATCCATATATTTATTCTATGATTTTAATATATCGATAGATTTATCTATATTATTTTTGAAGAGTTTCGTAAATTGTCAATTTCTTTCATAGATTCATTGATATTTCTTGAATATGTACAATCGAAATAAAAAAGACGAAAATTACCTTGCGAATGATCGATAACATTCGAAATATAATTTTAGGTAAATATCATTCATCGGTAATTTTAAGGTTGACACCGTCTTTTCTCGGCATTTATTTGCCAACAAGCATACACAATATAAAGCAATGGCTTTGAAATGAAGATCGCTGCCATTTTACATGTAATGGTGCGTTTAGTCTTGAGCACGCACGAGCTGAGCGTGCGCGCACGGCATTCGTTCGCGCTCTCGGCTCCGTTCAAATTAAAAACTTATTTTTCGACGAATGAAGTGATCCATTTGTGCGCGCACAGCAGAGTTGTGTTGGCGAAAATAATGGACGACCAAGAAATAGTCGAGGCTGCAGTCATTGTTATGCACAGCTTAATTATTAAAAAGGAGAAAAATCGAAAACATCGTCGCTGGTGGCAAAGCCAAATTTTTAGAAATCGATATAATTTACTGCAACAACTTAGTGTCTGAGGAGGGCTATGATCAGTTCAAAAACTTTACAAGAATCACCAGGCCCGACTTTGAATATTTACAAAATTTAATGACACCAAAAATTACGAACAAAAGATACAAATTTTAAAATAGCAATTTCATTAATATCGACATATTCAATGTTAATTTTATTTACAAGGTCTTGCCACATGCGTTTTTTTTTGGTTTTTTAATAATACTAAAGAATGTTTAACATCCCATAATATAGACAACTTTTCATATTCTTCAATTAATAATAATAACGAAGATTCATTGATCCACTCCATAATTTTAATAAAGAAAACGAAAAGAAATCACACACGCACGCACGAACGTAGACAAAACAAATTGCCGGTGCAAATTGAGCGTTGTACACATAAAATCCCTTTGAGCACGGACCAAAAACCGACACCAGACGGCTCACGTTTGCGGCTGCTCGCGCACTGACAGATTCAGGTGAGCGTGCGCGCACAGCCGTTTACACTTGAGCATTCACGGAGGATCGGTGCGTGCGTGCTCAAGTCTAAACGCACCATAACACTATATGGTGAATGTCATCGATCGTCATTTCCAAGCCAACTGGACGAGGTTTTTTTTTCCATATGGTATATTCTATGAAAAACACTGATGAGTATATGGATAAATTTTATAAAATAGATGGATATTTTATAAATTTAATCTAAAACCTTATAAAAATATAATAGTACAAGCGCTAGCAACGTCGGGAAAACGAGAATTTTAAGAAAGCTGGTTCTTTAATATATATTTTGCTGTTCTCTCCTGACCAAAGTGCGGGCCGTCTGGCTACTAGTAGACTACTTTGGTTCACTACTGCGTATCATATCTATATGTACGAGTAGAGATACAATGATGCGATTTTCACATTACTTTGCTACTTTTTTATGAAACTAAATATGCGACACATATGTTTGTCCTAGCCTCCTTAGTTCCTGAAATACAGGACGAAATTGTGATGCGCAGTAGTGAATGAATGTTGAATACAGCTATGATGCGCAGTATTGAACGTAACGTCTGCCGGCAGCCAGACAGTCCGCACTCTGTTCAGGAGCTCTCCATAATAAAAGATATATTAAAGAACCAGCTTTCTTAAAATTCTCTCTCGAAAACGTTGCTAGCTCTCAGACTATAAGTAAAACAGCGAAATCGTTATGGAAATAAAAATATCAATGACTGCACCCAAATTCTTCACGGGTCAATGCCTGGCTGTAGTATAAAATTTTAGTAGTTTTAGGGATTAGCTTAATTTACAATTGATAACAGTGTCAGTGATCCTTCTGACCGAAACGTTGTGTTAATCAAAAGTAAATAAAGACAATGGTAGTACGAAATTTTTCCAGTTTCAAATTAAAGTTTCGAATCGATTTCCTTAAAACCCTGGTAACTTTAAAATAGGTCTTCCGCTGCCATTTCGCCTGAAAAAAAAAGGAAGTAACAGTCGAAGAAAAAACGAAAAAAAAAAGTAGAACTTAGAGCCGGGACACTTTTATTTCTACTTACCGGCTGTAACCGGGCGATAGACCGTTAATTAATTATTTCGTTGCCTCCCGCTCCCCGACCTCCCCCCCCCCCCCCTAGGACATTTAAGTGCTACACGAATTAAAGTTTAAAGCTTTTGGAGCGTTCGGTCTTCGTATTTGTTACGTCTTAATTGCATTCCGAGTGCCCGATGGCGATAGATAACTGAAGGCGAATTACGGAAAAATTAGCAATTCGTTATTTGTTTTAAGTTGTGCAATCAAAATAGCAGTTTTTAATGCTAGAGTTGTTTAATCTATACTAAAATATAAAATCCTTAAGTGACTGACTCACCGATTAATCAGGATCCTGCTCAAACCACTCAACGTAAGAAGCTCAATTTTGACATACAGGTTGACTCTAGGGGGTTTGTTTTAATAAAGTTCTTCATCGCTGGACAAAATAAAGTATGCCCGAGTTTTCTTCAACGGCAGTTATTCGTTTTTTTAAACCTGCTTCTTCGAGCATATCAAACCGTTTAATATGTACATAGTCACTAGGTTCCTTAATATCTTTTTCTCTTGCACGCTTAACTTTTGCTGTGACTTCATTATATTGCAAAAATGAAAAACAAGCATCATTACATACTTGCGAGTGCCTTAATTTTTCACAGAAAATTTCTTCCATAGGGAAAATACCGCATAGCAATTCTTCTTCTTCTTGTTTTATGATGGTTCTGCTACAAGGCAACCGCCAATTTACAACGATAAAAAAACAATTATACATAAATAAATAAATAAATAAATAATAAATAAATCTTTATTGACTACGTATTTATACAATGTATAATTGTAGCAGGTCAGAGTAAATAACAAACAGATAAGAATTCATAAAAATACTAAAAGTTAGAAAAAAAAAACAATACACGGAGGCAAAGTGTGTTACATTAAATACATACAAGACAAACAACAATTGAAGAATTTTGTACAAATAAATCAAATTAAATCTAAGTTCCCATCTACCTGCTCTATAAACTCATCCACGCTATAAATTCCAGATTTCTCTAAAAATGTCTTAAGCTTATATTTAAATTTATTAAAACATAGAGTTTTTAATTCCATTGGAGAAGACGGTTGTATAAATCAATGCGTAGAGAGTTTCTAGCTGATTTATCCAGTCTATAGAAATTGGTTCGTATTAGATTGGCAGATCTTGTTCCATAATTATGACAGTCAGAGTTAACTGTCAGATAAGATTTAGTTTTATGAACTTCCAAAAGTTGATTTAATATATACAGAGCAGGCAGTGTAAGTATATTCAGTCTAATAAAGTGGGGCATACATGTATCTCGATAGCCAACACCACATAATGTTCTAATTACCCTTTTTTGCAACCGAAATATTTGAATAGAATTTGTCGAGTTCTCCCACAAAGCCACTCCATAGGACATATCGGAATGAAACAAGGCATAGTACGAATTCAACATAGACTCCTGGCAGATTAACGCTTTAAGTTCACGCATCAAGTATACCACCGACGAAAGTCTGCGTTTAAGATTTTCAATATGTGGTACCCAACTGAGTGTACTATCCAGTGTAATACCCAATAGTTTAGCACTATTCATTTCTATATCCTTAGACCATCTGTAGGAAAAAAATATGTTTTGCGTTTTATCGCGATTCAGTTTCAGGCAATTATGCGTGAACCAAGTCTCCGCACGGTTCATCAACCTTTCGCTTTCAGTCACTAGCAGATCCATATTTTTATTTCTACAAGACATTGAACTGTCATCTGCAACGCTCAACACTTATTTGGTATAAGGTAATTAAAAAGGTCATTAATATAAATAATAAAGAGCAGTGGTCCCAGTACAGATCCCTGTGGCACACCACTCTCCATCAAACCACAAAAAACAAAGCGAATTTCCGCCAATGTCTGTCAACGTTGCCAACGTTTAGCCCAATTTAATGTTATCCTTATATTGCATATTATTCAACTTATCCTTATTTTTATCCTTATATTTTATAACATGAAGTAACCGAATCTTTCAAACCTACTAGTAAAAGTTGGTGTCAAAAATAGCTGTTAAACTTTAAACTTTTACTGGCTTAGTCTTAGCAAAACAGTGAATGTGAGCTTTTATTAGTAATTGTTAACAATCACTTATTTCCAACGTCTACTGTAACATATCAACCGATTTTTTTAATTTTACTCTAGAATAGTAATTATACAGGGTTTTCCTTAATAGCATCTAACTAATTTGCCGGCTCAGAATTAGAATTTAGAGTTAGTAACTCGCATTTTCAGTGGAGGACACTGTTCTATTTATTTCAAACCAATAATCAACGAGAATATTCGTATAACCATATTCAACAACTTTTTTAAAATTCCAGTATAGTACGAAGAACATCATAAACACGTTAACCCACTACGGACATGAAATAAAATCAATTTTTGTCAGTGGCACTATGGGAAAAAATAGTTTATTTTCGATATTGCAAGCTGATGTTTGCAGGGTGCCGATGGTAAGTCCGGACCAGCCAAATAACAATTTAATAGGAGCAGCAATTTTGGGTGAGTATAAATTATTAGTATATTATTCAACGAGCATATAATGGTGGCTGTTATTCACGCGGATGAAGTTTATGACGAGCCCCAGGCTAATTGATTTGTATATATTAGTTGTCTGCGATATTCTCCTATGGTGGCAGCACCGGCGAAGAATGCACCAAACCTATTTATTATAGTGACTCAATTTGTATAATATTCGTCTAATCTTGAGATTTTTTTAGGCGCAGTTGCCTCTGGTCACTACAGGACCTTCAACGAAGCCACAACCGCTATGGGAGGCAAAGGCAAAATCTATAAACCTGACGAGCACAAAGAACTCATCGATTATCACAACCGGAAATTCGAGGTGTTTCTGAAACTGTACGAGCATCAGCTTCAGTATAGGTCGATAATGAGCGGCAGTGATATTACCAAAGAAAAAATGCAAATAAAATAATTATAGTATGTTTGATTATCGTAGATTTGTTTCATTCTTTGAATAAAAAAAATATTGTAGCATATGAACAAATTCAATAATATTAATTGTTAGAAAATATTTCGAAGCTATATTTGACTCGTTGCCGGCAGTACTGTATCGATATTCGGTTCTTCCATCGTCAGCCAGTACGGTCGCTTTATTTATTTAAATAAAAATATTTATTTATCTAAATAGAGCGACTAGCGCAGCGAGCCGTCACACAGTGCTTCGTCCCATGGACAAAAATCAAAAAATAACTTAAAATTTACTATATCATAATAATAATATCTGAATATATAATTTTATACTTATAGCAATGTCCAACCATCCTGTATATTATTTTTCATAAACAGCGTTTTTGTTAGCAAATATTTTCACTAAAAATAAATTTTGCGATCATTATCTCATCAGTGAAAAGAATAACATTCATAGTAGTTCTGTATATTATGGAGTTAAACGGGTACGTACTTAATTGAAAGCCACTATGGATATTGTTAAACAAGGTATGTACTTTAAATTTATTTCTAAACAAGTTCGTGATTGTTTAGTTTTTATTTATTTTTAAGATGATTCTTAAATGGGTAAAAAATTTTACGTTTTCAAACTTCAAAAGGCATTTAAAAAACATATCAAAACATATCTTATTTATTGAATATTTTGTTGCCATATTCATACACTTTTTAATTTTTGTATAGTTCACCTGCGTCTGCTTGCGACGAACTTTATTTTTATAATATTTTCAGATGGAGTAAAATTGATAAGCAATGCCGATCTGGCTAATACTTGGCTTGATCATAAGGACAAGAACTCAAAATTATTTGTATTTCAAAAATATGTTCTTATTAGATATTGATGAACCTTCCAGTCAAATGAGACACCACTTGTGCCTGAAAAAGTCCACTATGTTGGAGCGAAACGTCGCAAAAAAAGTGTCCATCTTTCAATTTATTATAAAAATCTCATACCCAAGAAAAGGAAAAAAATAATATATGGATATGGTCTATTAAAGAGGTAACTATTAACATCCGAACCCCTCATACCGACAAAATGAACAGTAACAACGCGAAAAAGTAACATATTAGAAAATGATGTACAGAAATATCTTATATGTGAGGATACTTCATCTACCTGTGATTTGGATACTATAAATTTGAAAGATTCTGTCAGCAGTGATTCTCCTGAATCAGAGTAGTTACGATCTATGCATTTTGTTGTCCTAAAGTAAATTTATAGTATCTCAAGTTTTTTTTTAATTCAATATAACATTAATGTTTCTTTTTCATTAAAGAAAAACATTTTTATCTTATATTAGGCTTATATTGTAGGAATCATGTTCTAATGTTATTTCAATTCTTTTTTATCACAGGAATTTATTTAATACTTACACCGTTTTCATACTATAACTTATTATTTGCTTAGATGGAACACAGCTCCAACATTATTATTATTTATAAGATTTTTTTTTCATAAACGTGGGACTAAGAACATCATCATTTAGTACAATGAGAGTACTCATCATTTGTGTCAAATAAACCTAGTTTGAATAAATTGCTTACAATAAAAGAGAAGTTTTGAATTTTTGTCCTCTAGAGCCATATGTTCGAAGCACTGTGCGTCACCTTGCTCGCGTCCACATTGCTAGCGAGCAGGCCGAACGAACACGTGAAACACGAAAAACAGGACAAACAGTCGGAGCGAGATGTTCGCGACGCTCGCAATGCTCCACGTGCGTGCGATCTCATAAAATGCCTGTTTCGACTGTTCGGTTCTGTCGCGGTACATCAAAGATATGCTTCGGAGCCATGCGAGCATACTTTACGGCGGTTCCAAGCGCTCGAGCTGTTTGCGTTGTTTGTTCAGTTTCTAGTTTTGTTCCAGTCATAAGATTCGGTATTTACTGCAGTATGATGATACTGACATGATTTTTCTTATTTTATTTTGTTCAGAATTACAAATATTTGTGTTTTGTCCTTCGATTAATAATATTAAATATACAGTTAATAAAATATAAGTCTTTTTTTATTTATATTGCCTACCTATCTTAATCTGATCTTCGAGAACTTTTTGTATTGTATATATTTATATTTTGGCATACGCCTGGTATTATTTTTGAACTACTTTACTTGGAAACTTTGAATAAATAACCCAAACTGGTATGTGAGTCTCTAGTTGCAAAGAATCTTAATGTTATGGTCAATCTTTATTTAACTCTTTCTTTAACCGGAATACATATCCCAAAAGTTTTATTTTTCCTTTCTATACGGGGGCCAACTAAGTTAATAAGTCTTTCAAAATCAGGAGCGGAGATGCGATAAAAAAAACATTCTGTTCGTTTGTAAATCGCGTAGATGTTTACTGTCACTGTGCTGGGATCTACTTTTGAAATTATTAGACATCCAACACCGCCTTTTTTCTCTTTGTCTCCTTCGTTTTGCAATAATGGTCGCACTAGCAGCCACTATTAAAAATACTTCGGTATTATCCATGTCCAAACAGCACGAACGCTTAACAGGCTTTAAAAGCCTGTCTCCAAATCAGATATTTTGATGTGGTAGTTTCGCTACTACATAATAGAGCGCAATAAATTTAAAAGAAAACAGTTTTCTACAAACAAAATTTAAAAGAATTTTGTGCAGTGTTGCCATTGTGTAATTCATATCGTAATACTTCCTGATAAAGCCTACCTTCAAATTTGCTACATCATTTAAACATATTAAAATAGATCAGAGCTGTTTTTTTTCAGTTTGCCATGTTAGTTGGAATTAAATCTTATGATAAATTACAATCACTTCCTGACGTATGATTGTATAAACTTCCTGAATTTTCAATTGTAATTCGGCGACAATATAATAAGTATTGTCTACTATTATGATACCACTTCCTGACGTTCTGAAATGAATATCGCTGTCATTTTATATGTAAATTTATATGGGAAATGTCATCGATCGTCCTTTTTCAGCCAACTGGACGCCGTTTTTTTCAGAAGCATATCAAGTTATACCATAATATAGTACTATATTACGATACATGGCGTTCGATTGGGCTTAAACTTGGTATACTATATCTTCAGTGACATTGTAATATCATGGTTCATGGAGCCTATAAAGTGGTACCTTCTATAGTACCATATTTGATGACATAGCAATATTAGGTACATGGCGGCAATAGGGCTTAAACTTGGTATACACGTATTTTCGGTGATATTGTAATATTATGGTACCATGGAGCATAATACGAGGTACCATAATATAGTACCATATTACGATGCCATTTCCTGGCGTTCGATTGGGCTTAAACTTGTTATACTACGTATCTTCGGTTACATTGTAATATGATGGTACTATGATGCATATAAAGTTGTACCTTAATATAGTACCATATTTCAATACCATTTCCTGGCGTTCGATTGAGCTCATATTTGATATATACTTGCGTATTTTTGATGACATTGCATTATTATGGTACCATGAAGCATATCAACTGGTACCATAATATAGTACTATATTAGGTACATGGCGTTCGATTGGGCTTAAACTTGGGATACTACGTATTTTCGGTGACATTGTAATATGATGGTACTATGATGCATATAAAGTGGTACCTTAATATAGTACCATATTACCATACCATTTCCTGGCGTTCGATTGGGCTCAAACTTGGTATACTACGTATCTTCGGTTACATTGTAATATGATTGAACTATGATGTATATAAAGTGGTACCTTAATATAGTACCATATTACGATACCATGTCATGGCGTTCGATTGTTCTTAAATTTGGTATACTACGGATCTTCGGTGACATTGCAATATTATGGTACCTTAAAGCATATCGAGTGGTACCATAATATAGTACACTATTATGATATGATTTCCTGGAGTTCGATTGGGCCCAAATTTGGTATACTTGCGTTTCTTTATAAAGATTTGTTTAATTAATAATTTTAATTTATTTTACGAATTTTAATTTATTTTAATTTATTGTTCGATGTCGTGACAGCAACTTTTATGCCGAACTAATATATAATTGTACCTGTGTCACTTTTTAAAATCTACCTAGGTCTATATAAATAACGTGGCAAACGGAAGAAATTTGTTATTATAGTATTTTTTAGTCAGTTAACATTTTTTGTACTGCATTTTAATAAATTATTTCCATTATTATTAAACTTATATTTCATTACTAACGTTCCAGCATTAATAAATATCACTATCAATCGCCCTGTCTATTATTAATTTTAAAGGTAATTAAAGGTATTTTCTTAGTTAACATTATAAGGTATTGTATATAAAAAATGTATATGTTTTGTAATAATATACTTAAAACTATTTTAATAGCCAAAGGAATAATTAATATAAGTGTATCTGACAAAGAAAGATGAATAGAAAGAAACACATACTGCATTATACATAACAAAAGAATGGGATGCCAATTCAAGTCTTTTGAATCTGGCAACTGTGCATATTTAGCCGAGCTATAAGGCCGTCGACGAGCCGTCGATCCAAAACCGAAAGTTCAAAATTTCTAATTATATTCTGATTATGACATTGTCGCGCCATCTAGTATTCTATTTGTGCAATTTTAGCTCTTTCATTTCGAGTATTTTTCGGTTGCGTAGCTAGATATTCTGTGGCTCAAGCAACGGAAGCACATTCACGATCAATGTGGATGCAGCTTTAAAGGTGTGATTTTCTAGCGGCGTCTGGCGTCCGCCGCGCACTGGTTCGTTACCCTATAAAGTGATACATTACTCTTCATTGATACAGGTATTAGCCAAGTACGTTCGTAAGAACGAACCAGTGTGCGGCGAGACGCGGACGCCAGACGTCGCGTCGCATCGCTAGGAACTCACACCTTAAGAAAAGCAGTGGCAATCCACCTTGAGCATATTTGCTTAGTAAGATCTCTCAAATAGTGGCGTTCGGATTCGGTGATAAACTGTAGGTCCCGTGTACTTGCGAAACACTGATGACACACATCACAAGTACATGCGAGAGGTCGTCAATGTTCTGTATAGAGCATGGCACCGAAAGGAGAAGATACTTGGCTAAAAATATACTTGACTTACCAAATCCTTACTTCTCTCCAATCTTTGACCATTCTTCCACCAAGTTATCGTAGCCGGTGGCCTTGAACCAGTACTCTGGCATAGAAGTTCGTATTTTCTTCCTGCAGAAAGTGGAGGATTGGGTCCAAGAAGTTTAACATCCAAAGGACCAACTGCAAACAAAATAAATAAATAAATGCCTTTAATGTCAAAAAATTTTTCAATTTGTAGACAAAGGTAAACTAACAAACAAAGTAAAAAAACAAGGTACACAAACAAACAAACAAAAGATAATACAAAACATTATACAAATAATATTGCCAGTCTTATTGTTTAAAATAAACATTTATAAATATTTACAATGTCAAAGAACAAAAAAATAAAAATAATATTCAAAAATATTTAGTTAGCTTATAGTAAAATATCAATGACCTCTAAATAAATTTATTTCGATGTCATTAGTAAATATAGCAATAAATAAATAAATAAATAAATGCCTTTATTGTCAAAAAATTTTTCAATTTGTGGACAAAGGTAAACTAACAAACAAAGTAAAAAAAAACAAGGTACACAAACAAACAAACAAAAGATAATACAAAACATTATACAAATAATATTGTCAGTCTTATTGTTAAAATAAACATATATAAATGTTTACAATGTCAAAGAACAAAAAAAAATTAAAATAATATTCAAAAATATTTAGCCAGTTTATAGCAAAATATCAATGACATCTAAATAAATTAATTTCCATGTCATTAGTAAATATAGCAATAGCAAACATTAGACCAGTGTTTTCAAGATCAAATTCGATTTTCAATTCAAATATAATTCATTTATGGCGTAGAAAGCCTTGTCTAGTAAATAAGAGTTCAATGCTTTGCGAAATGAAAAAAATGATGTTATGGATTTGATTTCAAATGGCAGGTGATTGTGCATTTTTTTCGAGTTGTATAATATTGAACTTTTAACTAACTCTGAGCGTGGGGTAGGTAGATAAAGATCTTCCTCCGCGTTCCTGAGTGGATAAGTGTGAGATGGCCTTTCTTGAGAAGCTGATACATGTTTACGTATTAGGCAAACGGATTCAAATATAAATAAGGAAGGAAGAGTCAATATTTTCAATTCTCTAAAAAAGCCCCGGCAATGAGTTCTGCTGTTTAGTCCCAGTGAATATCGAACAGCTCTCTTCTGGAGCTTGAAAATGCGGTCAAATTGACCCGCACAACACGTACCCCAGAATGGAAGGGCATATCTGAGGTGCGACTCAAAAAGTGCATAATAAACAGTTCTAGCCACTGACAAGTTAAGCTCCTTAGAAACAGACCTTAATGCAAAACAGACAGAGCTCAATTTTTTCGACAAAGCTTCGATATGTATGTCCCATTTCAGAGAATTGTCCACAACAAGCCCTAAGAATTTTACGGATTTTACGACGTCAATGGTGGTGTTGTTAAGTACAAAAGGCTGCAACGAGTTTTTATACGACAAAGCCTTAGTTTTAGAAATGTTGAGACTCAGGAGGTTCGAATCGCACCAAGATTTAATGGTGATTAAGTCATTTGATATAATCCTATGAAGTGCCGCGATGTCCTTGTTGCTCAAGTGAAGCTAGTGTCGTCCGCAAAAAGACATATTTTGCCACTGATGTTTATGTTAGCAATGTCGTTAATAAAAAGAAGAAACAAAATAGGGCCTAGTACTGAGCCTTGTGGTACTCCACATTCTATTGGCGTGCTAGAAGACAACGTGGTATCCACCCTCACAAGTTGACTTCTGTTGCTCAGATACGACTTAAACCATTCGAGAGATGGTCCCCTGAACCTATAGTGCTGCAGTTTATTAATTAGGATCTTATGATTTACACAATCGAACGCCTTAAAAAAATCACAGAAAATTGTTGCTGTAGAATGATGGTTGTTTAGGCTGGAGTAAACTTTATTAAGGAGGGAAAACAGCGTCATTTGTGGACTTGTTGCTTAGAAATCCAAATTGATATTCAGTAAGTATTTTGTACTTAAACAGAAAAGATACCAGCCTGCTTTTAACCAACCTTTCTATGATCTTAGATAGCGTTGGAAGGAGTGCAATTGGGCGATAGTTAGAAGCTTCATCTTTGTCTCCTCCTTTGTGCAGTGGAATGATTATTGCCGTCTTAAGACATTTTGGAAAAATACCATTTTGGAACGACATGTTTATTAAAGTTGTTAGGTGATTCAGAGTGCTTTCTGGCAGATTCGAAAACATTTTTAAAGTTAGCCCGTCGGTCCCCAGAAAAGGATTTGGCTTTTTTGATGTATTAATTGTACTGCGAAGCTCTTCAAGAACTACGGGCGAAAAAAAGAAACTGTGTAAGTTTACATTATCATTAGAGAGATAAGAAAGTGGATCATGAGGAGGACATATGGTATTAGTTAAGTTTTTCGCTACATTTACAAAATAATCGTTAAGGTTCTCAGGCGAGGTAGAGATATTGCTAGACGAAGAAGCTTTGTTTCTTAACTCATTCACAATAGACCATGTTTCCTTAGCAACATTACCAGAATTGACTATTCTCCTATTATAATAAAGGTCCATAGCAATAGCAAAGAAAAAATAATATTAAGTCTTTTTGAAGTGAAACTTTTTTATACGCGATGGGAGTAAAAATAAAACGCAAAAATTAATTGAAAATAATATTTATATTAGAACACCATTATATGTCACTTTTTCAAACATGTCCAGGTAGTCAAAAATTTGTTTTTCTGTTTTTCACAGAAATGTAAAACGATTTATAATGCTTTTTGTAATATATTTTACCAGGATATTTCTATAAATTAATAAAATTATTTTCAAGTAACTTTTGAGCAAATTAACAACAAACCCAAAATAAATTCTTTAAGCAAAAAACTCTAAATATTCAGACATTTAAATTTATCTTGTTACTTTTATATCTACTTTAAAATATTCGCAGCAATGTAAGAGAGCTCTAAATCCATCTAATTAGAGCTGGAACCGCTTTAAAAAGATCAAAAACCCCGTAAAAGCCGAGAACGAAATTTGTCCTGTGCTCTAACTCGAGCGTTATACCGCAATTTAACCTCAACTGATATTAAATCATCGCCATTAAACGTAAAATCCTTTTCCACTGTCCGGCAATGAAATAAATCTTTAATCTTTCTCACTTTGTTGGGCTAATTAAGTTTATTAAAGTGCCTGCCCTATACAGGGCGAGTCTTAGACAAATACAAATATTTTCAGGGCTGGTAGACCTCGATAAAAGAAACGTATTTTCTCTTTACCGTTTCTGAAATAAATTCAAAATAACGGAGTTATTTTACTCATCAAAATCAAATTTATCTTGCCAAAAAACTCCCAGACACCAATTTTCATCCAAGTATTGACGTTACTTGAGAAATTATTTGGTAAAAATCGAAATAAAAATATAACTTCTACACCCTGTATCTCCGAAACTAAGTATTTTAGGACATACATTTAAAAGAATTTTTTTACTTATTTTTATCTGCAGAATAAATAAATAAATAAATAAATAAATAAATGCCTTTATTGTCAAAAAATTTTTCAATTTGTGGACAAAGGTAAACTAACAAACATAGTAAAAAAAAACAAGGTACACAAACAAACAAACAAAAGATAATACAAAACATTATACAAATAATATTGTCAGTCTTATTGTTAAAATAAACATATATAAATGTTTACAATGTCAAAGAACAAAAAAATTAAAATAATATTCAAAAAATATTTAGCCAGTTTATAGCAAAATATCAATGACCTCTAAATAAATTAATTTCGATGTCATTAGTAAATATAGCAATAGCAAACATTAGACCAGTGTTTTCAAGATCAAATTCGATTTTCAATTCAAATATAATTCATTTACGGCGTAGAAAGCGTTGTCTAGTAAATAAGAGTTCAATGCTTTGCGAAATGAAAAAAATGATGTTATGGATTTGATTTCAAATGGCAGGTGATTGTGCATTTTTTTTTCGAGTTGTATAATATTGAACTTTTAACTAACTCTGAGCGAGGGGTAGGTAGATAAAGATCTTGCTCCGCGTTCCTGAGTGGATAAATGTGAGATGGCCTTCCTTGATACATGTTTACGTATTAGGCAAACGGATTGAAATATAAATAAGGAAGGAAGAGTCAATATTTTTAATTTTTTAAAAAAGTCCCGGCAATGAGTTCTGCTGTTTAGTCCCAGTGAATATCGAACAGCTCTCTTCTGGAGCTTGAAAATGCGGTCAAATTGAGCCGCACAACACGTACCCCAGAATGGAAGGGCATACCTGAGGTGCGACTCAAAAGTGCATAATAAACAGTTCTAGCCACTGACAAGTTAAGCTCCTTAGAAACAGACCTTAATGCAAAACAGGCAGAGCTCAATTTTTTCGACAAAGCTTCGATATGTATGTCCCATTTCAGGGAATTGTCCACAACAAGCCCTAAGAATTTTACGGATTTTACGACGTCAATGGTGGTGTTGTCAAGTACAAAAGGCTGCAACGAGTTTTTATACGACAAAGCCTTAGTTTTAGAAATGTTGAGACTCAGGAGGTTCGAATCACACCAAGATTTAATGGTGATTAAGTCATTTGATATAATCCTATGAAGTGCCGCGATGTCCTTGTTGCTCCAAGTGAAGCTAGTGTCGTCCGCAAAAAGACATATTTTGCCACTGATGTTTATGTTAGCAATGTCGTTAATAAAAAGAAGAAACAAAATAGGGCCTAGTACTGAGCCTTGTGGTACTCCACATTCTATTGGCGTGCTAGAAGACAACGTGGTATCCACCCTCACAAGTTGACTTCTGTTGCTCAGATACGACTTAAACCATTCGAGAGATGATCCCTGAACCCATAGTGCTGCAGTTTATTAATTAGGATCTTATGATTTACACAATCGAACGCCTTAGAAAAATCACAGAAAATTGTTGCTGTAGAATGATGGTTGTTTAGGCTGGAGTAAACTTTATTAAGGAGGGAAAACATAGCGTCATTTGTGGACTTGTTGCTCAGAAATCCAAATTGATATTCAGTAAGTATTGTACTTAAACAGAAAAGATACCAGCCTGCTTTTAACCAACCTTTCTATGATCTTAGATAGCGTTGGAAGGAGTGCAATTGGGCGATAGTTAGAAGCTTCATCTTTGTCTCCTCCTTTGTGCAGT